CAAATAAAAAGTTTTCCCACAAAAATCGGTGTATCCATTTTATGCGTCCATGTTTTAAATACCCCCTTGAACAACTTGCACCAATAAAACCAGACTTTACATTATTTCGGGGACATTTGTTAGTATGATTAGACTACTATCAAACTTACTCCAAAGTATGTTATTGGAACTTTTTTGCGTAGTTTCTGTAACAGCATGAATCGAAAAACTAAAAATACTCTTGATATTTTTGCTTCCTGTTACGAGGACTTTCCTATTTTCTGGCAACGGTTCTTCTCTTAATTAAATAGCCGACATTTTCGATTTGAGGTATGAATATACCTACGCTAACGAAAAACATGCTAACAGCAAGCTATTCATAATATAATATTATCCAAAATCTACGTTCAAGATTTTATTTGAATTTGCTACAATACTGTTTTCCAGTGGAGTTTACAAAATTGACACACATTATGATGTTTACATACCTACAGGTTACATACAAACCTCAGCGAAGTTGTATATGACCCATTGGTATTTCTCTTCAGCGACTAATAAGCAAAAAGATGGTTCTAGGTTAGCAACTTTTAGAATCCCTGTTTTCTGGTGGCTTTTAGCTGATTGCAATTGCCTGACGTGTCCAACTTAAATCATGGTTTTATATGAGCGTTATAACGGATTATTTTTCGATTCGAATATTAATTTGCAATGCCTTTACCAACTATATTTAACAGGAAGAAAAAATCGATATGGTTATTTAAGTACTTTTGGGTAGTTTTCAGTAGATCACAGACGATTTCAGGATTTACATATTTTAACACTTAGACATTTTTCTGGCATGCATATTCTTCCACATAAACCAGTGAATGAACATATTTTCGCAAACGATTGATAAATAATATTGACTACTAATCTGAGATGTCGCCATTAGTTACCGCAATGTCATGATGAGAAAGTAGCTTTTGTCCCCTAGGTAAATAATGACGACGGAAAAGTATCTAAGGTCACCTTACAATGCCATACAAAATCAATAAACATATGAATTAACTGTACCATGCGCGGAGATTAACTTCCCTAAGAAAAACTTCATAGGAAGCCGCAAAAGCGGATCTTTAACGTAGCTCCTACTCGCATTTGTATACACATACACACGAATTGGGTGATTGAGGACAGTGGTTTTCAATCACTTTCCAGAAACACTCCAATAAGTTCATCACAGACCGTCAACATTTCACATTTCAGTTGTACCGACAGGCATTGCTATGTTCTATATCGAAGATTAACAAAGGTAAACTAAATATATGTGGACGATTGCTTTCAAGTTATCATTTGTACCAGCAGTGAAAATAAAATACGTGTACCATTCCGGGTAAGTCTCCATCTCTATAAGTGTTGCAATTTTTACAGTGAGTGTTTGATCAGTGTCTTTTTAAGCGATTATGTATTTTGAGATTGCGTTTACTCGCATTTAAGCAGAATACTTGCCTTAGGTGTTAATTATGGTTCACTCCAAACAAGTACTAAAGGTACAAAGCTTTATCATACGAGCCAAGGTGGTTTTAGTGCCACTAGTATGTAGAGCATTCACTAAAAAGATGCATTGATGCATTTTTGTTGTTGTTACCCTAATTGAGAACTTCCCTCATATCGTGTATTCACCAAAATCGCCGGAAGACATTGTGTATCAAACAGAAGTGGTGTGTATAAGGTAGTTTCGTGGTAAAATCTGATCGGCCACCAAGGTAATCTTACACAGAGTATACAAGGTCTGTCGTAAGGTGAATAGGACTGTTGAAAGATATCGGATACAAGTAGCGCCATCTATTAACGGAGAATAGCGTTGGATAAGTACATCTTTCATGGATACACTGGCAAAATTTCACGACAATCGAACCACTTCCCGTGGAGTTATCGCTCTCAAAGTGACATTACCTTTTTAGCATCGGTCGAAAAATGTGCATCGAACAAAGAGCCAATATTAAGTTCTGTGTTAAACTTGGTAAAGCTTTCGCCGAAACGCATCAGATGTTGATGCAAGTATAATATGGTGATGATTGTTTATCTCGTAGCCAAGTCCACGAGTAGTTTACACAGTTCAAAGAGGGTCGTGAGTCGCTGGAAGACGACGAACATGTTGGCCAGCCAAAATTTTGTGATTACGCCAGAACGTCGAAAAAGTACGTAAATTTATCAATAATGATCCAAAATATTCAATGAGATACATAGAAAAGCTCACGGATGACAAAAAATTGCTTCAAATTCAACATTCGAGAGACATCATTAAAGAGACCAAAAAAGACAAAAACCTTCTGTGCAATATTGTGACTGGTGGCGAAACGTAGTGTTTTCAATATGATCCCGAAACCAAGCATCAAGGGCCTAATGGAAGCACCTAAGCGAGCCAAATTCGAAAAAAGCTGTTTGGGAGAGTCCAAAGTTAAGAAAATGTTGTTTGTTATTCACAAAGAATTCGTTCCACCGGGCCAAACGTTAATGCTGTTTTTTGGTGTTATGATGCGTTTGCTGTCGCTTATACGTCGTGTTCGACCAGAATATCACGAAGAAGGAATCTATCGCTTGTTGCACGATAAAGCACCATCTCATCGATCGACGCTTGTGTCCGATTTTTTTACAAAAAATGGGATTTTAGCCATCAACCACTCCACATATTCACATGGCACCGTGTGACTATTTTCTGTTCAACAAACTACATTTATTTGTCCTTGAAGGGACAGCGGTATGCCGACATAGAGGCCATCCAAAAGGCGTCGATGACCATTTTGAAGGACATCCCGGTCAATAAGCTAAAATCACCGTTTAAAAATGTTATGGTTCATGCAAATCATTGTATTAACTCTAAAGGAGACTATTTTAAGTAAAATATATTCGATTTTCCGAAACAAAAAATGTTTGTTCATTTTTTCTTTGTCCTGTCCTATTAAGGAATGCATATTGACTGATGGTGGTCAATATGAATACCTGCTTTACCGAATATAATAAAAAAATATCCCAAAGTCAATCCTGCCATTACTTCTTATTCGCGTCATAGAGTCGACTTGATTGATATTCCAGAAACTTGAAGAACTTAAATTCAAATTGCTATAAACAAGAAAATAACAAACAAGATGTTGAACTTTTTTAAAGTATTTGACATGACCTTCCTAGCCCATTCTTTGTTACTACGGGGCATCAAAGTTAGACGTATAAAGAAGTCCACGGAACTTTCGCGATAAAATAATAGTAAAACTCGATTAAACAATCATTTGTGAACATTTCGAGAAAAATAACAACAATTTGACCAGATGAGTGTCGATTATTGCTAAAAAATGGTCCTTGTTTGATTTCAATCAAACGATCCGTTTTTGAGACGATCAGTCTTGTTTCAATATCTACTGCTTCTAACGATTTAGATTTCAAGCTACCCAAAAAGCTTAACAAAAAATAAATTTGGACGAGTCACTTGCAGAACTATATTCTAAGTATCTTTTTTAAATCGCTTGTTACGTATTCTACTTGTTACCAAATTCCCAATTTTCAGAATTGCGGAACTAGTACAATGAATCCAGTACCAGAACTGATAAAGCTATTGAAACCAGGCCAGTTTTTTCAAAACTACTCGTTTTATATAAATCAAACAAGATTTCATACTAGCCGTAGCTTTCTAGAAATATTATTTTTTGATCCATTGTTATTGTACCTTAGTAGCTTTAGAAAATGTGCACATTTTGTTAATTACAACCCGTACACTAGCGTCACTTCTGGCCATTCAATCATTCCATTTTTTTCCTGTCATGCAAGCTCATTGTTATGTTAGGTGAGGAATTAATGGAAAACTTTCGGTGATGATTGTTGACTTATCAACTCAACAGGCACAAGCTCATACTGAAGTGGAAATGAAGCCGCATAAAAACATACGTAAAATGGGTCCCAGTCGATGAGTTTAAAAATTAGGATGATATATTTCTCACCTCTCAGTACAAAAGTTCTCGTGGGACCAAAGCAACCGTATGATATTTTCTGAGAAATAGGGGGATGCAGTATGCCCATTTGTAAAAATGATGAACGGCACATAAAATTGATTTTTAAATTCGTCGAGATAATCGAATGTACCTAATGTAAGAGACCTATGCTGCATTAACTGCGCTTCAGCAACGGTGCAAAGAGCAAACGTCGGTCTAGCGTTAGATGAAGTAGAATGTATACAAAGTATTTACAAACCCAATAAAGTACCGACTATGGACATCTTATCGACAAGTTTATGAAAACAACAAATTACAGATGTAAACCTGGCCCCCAAACTCTAAACACAGGTGATTATTTTGCTAAGGCTTCTACAAGAGTTCATTATCCTACGTAAAAGTTAGCGCAAACCATTCGTTATGTCGAAAGCAGATCAAAACATGAAACAAATTAATGTCGATCAATTGCAATACCCTAAAGCTACGTTTACATTAGTGCATTTTCTCTCTCGTGTTCAAAATCAATATGATCTTGAATTGACCTTGTAAAGGTAATAATCAAAGACAACTGAGCAGCCACGACTTTTACGTGCCCTTGTGAAATGAACTGACCTCTTTAGTGAATTCTTTTGAATCCTCGAACAACTCATGGACAAGATCAACAAGACACCTCACACCTCCTTAAAAACGGGGTTTTCTAAGGATATTTGGTCGCAAAACATTCACCACATTCAGCTCATTCACCATTTTTGTAAATCGGGCAATTTTCTTCTATTTCTAATAAATATGATTGCTTTGGTACCATGAGAATTTTTGTCCAGGAAAGCGAGAAACATATCCTGCTCAATTTTTAGACAAATCAACCAGGACCCATTTTCCATATGTTTTGTGCGGGATTCTTTCTCCGCTTACTTCCAAATATTCCTAGAGGAAATATTGAACAGATAATTTTTCTTTCATAACATAGTAGAGATAAGTTTGTGGCAGGAAAGGATGACAGGGTTAAGCGCTTATATACTTTTGGCTATTGTACCCTTACATTGATTATTTCTGTCTGTTTCCAGTTTCGACGTGGAGAATGGCGCGAGTCCAGGCCGTAGTCCTCTGGACGGGGCCGCCTCCCCGTCCGCCGGACTGGTGCTCCAGAACCTCCCTCAAAGGAGGGAGAGCTTTCTGTATAGATCGGACAGCGATTTCGATGTCTCCCCTAAATCTATGTCCCGAAACTCATCCATCGCCAGTGAAAGGTATGTTACATTATTATTAATGTCGTATTCGTATCGTATCCATTTGTTTGAGAGGGGGTTGACTTAAATCTTAATATGTATAGAAAAGAGCAGGACTCAGCTTGGGCTTGTTGTAATCCATGAAGTGGTTTATTTGGAAAAGGTTTGACCGTTACCTCTATAGCAGAGGATTTATAAATTATACTTTTGAATCTTCTCCTCTTGCTATTTAAGGTTGAAATCAGACCAGCAATATTATTTGTGCTTTTTCAGGTAGATATTTCAAAAACTCTTTTACTTCCAAAATTATTTCCTTTATTCAATAGCTGTATTTTTTACCCTTTGCTCTTTATCTTACTTCACACTTAACAAACTGACTGACATACCTTGATACAAGTCAAAGGGTATTGACAGACAACGGTGGAAAAGTTGAAATGTTTATTTAAGTCATTATTTAGTGCATAAGGACGAAAATGGATAAATATGGACAGCTTAAAACACTTGTAAGCACATGTTAACGTTTAAATTTTTAATTTAAGTATTTTTATTTATATTTATTCTAAAAATCATAAGTGTTATAAAAGAATAAACTCATAAACATCCTAAATTTGAACCACAATACAAATTGCACTCCTTTAATGCTTTTTATGCTATTTACAACAGCATAAAATACTGTCAACCCCTTCTGAAATAATCGGAATTCATAGTGCAAAGTACGCTTACAAATAATTGTATGGAGTAAGGAATAGAAGTTCAACATCAAATACGCCTTTACTTGCCATAACTTCATCCATGAAGCAATCTGCCATATATCGCTCATGTTGTACATTACCGAAGCCATCTCATTCATGCTTAACATCGATCGAATGGACTCATCTCACATTTGTCGATTTTACCACCCATTTTATCACCATTCATCAACTTTATCGACTAGTTTATGGATCCTTTGTATGTATCACTAACCGTAACATTAATACATAAAATTTTATTTCTATGTATATGGACATAAGAAGCGAATATAAATCTTTGTACATTTTGTATAATTTTTCTATGTACTGTTGTGGCTATAGATCATTGTATTTATACCAGCGGCGCATTTGCAAAAAACGATCACCAAATCACCTTGTCAAATACTGCCGAAAGTATCTCAAAGCTGGTATAAATCCTAAATCAGGCAGAAGAGGGAAAAGAGAATGGATTCTCACATTAATAGAACAGCTCGGCCATGCAAAGCGTATACCTCACTCTCTCATCTTCCTGTTCACACCTTTTACACAAGGATGTATCACTTAGTTTCCTACTATGGCTACCTTAGCTGATATTAGAGGCAATGCCGACCAAATGGAAATGTCTTGACATGGACATCGTTTCGCTAGAAGCAGCCAAGCGTACCATCCAACATGTCTTTGAACTCTTTGTGGGTACACTCTTTTAACATTCGATCATGGCCCCGATGGGCAAAATGCAAATAAGACGAGGAACAATTAGATTATTTGTTATTATGGGTGAAGACACTCACAAATGGCAACCTAATACTGATCTCGTTTTAAGTATCAGTAGAAGATTCTAAATAGAAACGACCTTTACCCATCTGTTTAATGGCTGAAAAGTATTTTATGTCAAAAATATATCGCGAATGGGTTGGCAAAAAAATGCCTGGCGAGAATTAGAGAAAATTAAAATAAAATCGGGTTTTGTAAAATTCCGCTCGACAAATACTTGAAATTAAGAAACTATTCAAGTACCATTTACTTAGTTACCTAAATGTGCAACTTTGCCCTGATTAGTATCTCTTACCGTTTCTGAGATCCCAATCTTGAGAGTCGAATTTGAAACACCCGGTATACGTATATAATAATATATACTCGTATATAATATGAAAATAAAAATCTGATAGCGGATACATATTTATCTTCAAATTTTGTTGTTCTTTCAGGAGAGTAAATTAAAATAAAGATAGTCAACAGTCAGAAAATTAAAATTAAAAATAACAAAAAGCCTACCCTAAAGAAAAAACATTTTATTAGAATAAAATATAGGTATATTCCAAAATTCTATTCATGAAAACTAAGTTCCAATTAATAATTATCATATTCGTTTAAAATTTCGTAATTTTCAGTGTTGTATTCGTTCATTACAAATTGAATATAAAATATATAGTTATTATTATATATTAATCCAGAAGAATCACATATTATGCACATATTGTATTCTCAGTACAATACATTCTAAATTCTTCATTGTGTCCAAGGCTGTTACTTTCTTTATTATAAACCGTAATATAGTAACCAACAAAATCGAGTGACGCTTTAGTTAGCTCAACCTCATTGTACTTAAAGTTCTTTACCAAAAGATAACTTCGATAAAAAATTTTGAAAGTTTCATTTTTGAAATCAATTAAGACTCTACCGAGTCACACAAATATATCTTTTTTTATCACAGCGATACGATCATAGACAGAAGAATACGAGTAGAAATATGTACCTACCCTGTACCTACTACAAACTATGATTACTACGGTACTATACAGATTGTTAGGATATTATTATTATTTTATTTAATAAGAAGTCATTTTTCAATTTTTAATTAATCATAGTCTCACCAGGAATTTTTTAGCCAACCTTCTCACGAAAACGGACTTTAGACTATATGATACGTTTGGCGTCGGTTCTATCTGCCTGCTGCCTACTCAGATTCTAATATTTTTGGCCCATATTACTTTTGTGAGCAACTTCTTTTACAGCTAGGATAACACCATCCATTACGAGTTGGGTCATGATATTTTTCTATTATGTTCTTTAGTTTTTAGTTTTTCAGTGTTTTTTTATATTATCTCTCTATTCAAAAACGAGTTTTTCTAATTTTTTATGTTTTATTTTTTAACAGCGTTTGGATAAGTCATTCAAGTCATTCAGTCAGGTAACCTATGTTCGTGCGTGTGATTTTTTTGATGACCCTAATTTGATGCATGAATATACCTTTTCACTACACTTTGATTTTATTACCCATTTATTTGTATTAGACATTACTAGATTAAAACCTTTTCATTTTTTTTTAATTCCGCTCAAAACGACAGACTGAACTGTGACTAACGAAAACAACTTTATATTGCATTATCTGTCTTTGTTTGATCTCCTTATTTCCAATATTATGTTTTTCATATGCAAAAATACCCACTGAAGCAGTTGAGGAGATTTTTGGAAAGCTTGGCATGCTATCTGTGGCAAATTGGCCATATATTCCATTGCATATTTAAATCGGATGCCCCTATTTATGACAATTGATCCTAACCTTATTTTATTACCAATTTAAAGAATTATTTATTCATCCGTGCATCGCATTTTAAAACACTTCCACTGAATAAGCCATTTACTCTGAAGTTGTATATTTCGGTGATTATAATTTCAACAACCATGGAACAGCTTTTTTCAAGCTGCTAACGGTACTGACTCTATGCTGCAACAGAGTACGTAGTTCCCAACTTAAAAGTGTATTCTTTCTAAAAGTAGGCGATAACGGCCCCATTGGGGCCTACGGAGAGGTGGTAAAGAGTGTAACGGAAATTTGGGGTTTGCGATGTGATGGATAGCCTTTGGTCTTTGCTTTTCAATTATCATAAGGGCATTCATTCTTCGAAGCACTGATGCAGCAGATGACGCCGCCTTCCATTATCTCTTTCTTAATTTTTTTGGGGGATGGGGGGCTCGAAAATAATTGATTCTCAAAATGGGCAGTAGATAAAATAAGTAGAACATCTGATCTAGGGGGTTACACATCTAAAGATTTTGGTCTATGGAAGTAGCGTTGTATTTGTTGAATGCTATTTCACAGAAACCACAAAATCGTCCAGACCCTTATCGCTTACGGTAAATTTCAAAATATTCCAGGGATCAAATAAAAGACCATGATCCTGAAATCGTTAGGCTTAACTTTATGTAATCTTCTATATTCTGAATAAATCTAGGTGGCTTCAAACCTGAGTCAACAAAGGACATTGTGATAAAATAATGTTATTGTATTTTTACACCTTCACAATTCACCATTCCTGGCATTGTACCTATCATTTGCCTATTACTTAAAACGTGAATTTTGTATTTTCAGATTGAAGGAGTCAGAAAACATATTGGAAAGATTGTATGTATGATTCGTAGTGTTGCACTTTCGACAAAATTTTGTTTCGAAATTACCATATTAGGAGAAAGACTAGCAAGCCTGATAATAAAATGATCTATTCATGCGAACAGTTACTGTGTTTACAGGTTTCTCTAAAGCGGTCTTACTTGAACCGCTTCAACCTATCGCATTCATATTTCTACATAGTACGTTTGTTCATACAGTCAAGAAATCCGCTTTAACCCAGGCTGAACCCCTTTCATAAAACGATTTGAGTTGGGTCGCTTTATCACCATCAATAACTTTATATGCGACGTCAACTAAAATGCCCCTAGTTAAACTGTTTTATAGCAAACATGTAAATGCAGTGAATGTCTTTCTTCTAAGATCATGTGTGCATGCTAACGAAGTTGTATCCTCATTGCTTTATTAGATCATTATGCGTTTATTGGTCGATGTTTTGTAGGTTGTGTATATTCCGATGTATTGTACTCAAGTTACTATAACTTTGATAACAGTATTAAGGTTGAAGGGTGATACTTACATATAGTGTGAAACAACTACTTGAATTAATTCTTTTATTTCAGCAATTCTTCATGAGAAATTTATAGATAGTTCAGATTTGGATTTTGAAACTCTATTCTACACAAACATTTCCTCTATACTTTTAACACCCTCAAGGTGAGGGTTGCGTGTTTTGCGAAAAATTATTTCTAAAAAATTTAAATTTTCCTAATAATTACATGATCAAACGAATTTACCTGTAAGTGATGTTTGATCTCAATTATGTGAACTCCTCGTCGAAGTAAATATTTAGAATACATATCGTAGTACCCTCGTAGTAGTATCCAACCGCCACGATTTCAAAGCGCGCACGCAGAGAAGGAAAGCGGCACCCCCTACCTTTCTCCCTTCTGGCCGCCTATAAACCTTCATTTACTTCAAAGCCAAGTTGCTGCAACAATTGGGTGATACATAGAGAGCGAGGGAGCTATTTACTTCGACGAGAACTTCACATATTAAGATCGAACATCACTTACAGGTAAGTTGTTTTTAACATATAACTATGTTCCGTCCTCGTCGAAGTAAATATTTAGAATAAATGTCGTAGATGTTCAAAGCTAGTTGCAACAACATACTACTAGCGCTCTGCAATAGTAAACGATAGGTTGTAAATGTACATTTCCATTGTAACAATTCAAGTCAAGGCTTTTAGCAACAGGTAATATGACGTACCTGGTTCAAAACTTACCATCCATTTGATGGTAATGAGCAAATAACGTAATAACATAGTTATGTTTAAGGTGTGGAGACTTGGTTCACCTCAAATGCCGCTTGAGCAAAGCTATTTTTTTTCATAAGAGATTTGTGACGTATCTCAGAAAACTCACTTCAGCCCGCCGCGAGCCTGAGACTACTATAATTTAGCAGGCGGAGAGGTAGATGCATTTCATGTTCTGAGAGTTTCCAATTGTGACACTCTCTGCTAAAACCGACTTCATCCATCTGGGAGCCGAGGCACCATGATAAAGTTACTGTACAGTGACAAATAAATACTTTGGATAGATATTTGGGCGTAAAATACGGTAAAATTTAAGTGGTTGCCACATGAGTGACCCCGAGACTTTCAAAAACTGAGAAATCCCAATTTCAGTATTATTCAACCCAATCCGGGTGTTGTCTGTTTCAATTAGTTTGCACACTCTGACCTGAGGTTACAGCTAGCAGTGTTGCTGATTTGCTCATCCCTTTGGTTGGTTGAGAACAACCACAGTATCTATATTTCAGTTGAGATGGCCTCAGCCTGTAAATGCCCTTCAAAAACCATCTTATGTCTGCATCGTTAGTAACATTTTGGGTAAAAGACTGGCAGCTCAAACAATTATATCTTGATCTCTTATCACCTGTAAGGTAAGAAATCTCTAGGTAGGAAACCAGACATGTATTTATTTCCGACAAAGGTCCTACCGTAATCTAAGCCCACAATACATGATGGATTATCGATGTTGATTGGAATGACAGCTTTCCAGTGACGATAACCAGGGTAAGCTTTAGAATTAGTGGGAGCAGCGTCCTGGGTCGCTTCATCAGATCCTTGCGATACTTCTAGAAGTGAAATTTCAGAAACACTGAATACTTGAACCACAATCAGGACGGTGAGAGTTACAGCTCCCACTCCGTTTCCACGTCCCACTGACGCAAAGGTTGATCTGTACCAGTATTACTCCTAGATTTTATATTTGACGCGAGGGCAGTGAGATTTCTCTCTTCACATAATTGCCATAGTTTTCCCGCAACCTGGTCCAGACGTGGAAACTATAAGCTTTCCATTCTATTGATGTATATAATATGCGACAGCTCATCAATTCGGTAGCAAAGCATTCACCAGAGAAGAAAACTACCAGTAGTTCTTGATGATTAGCATGCGGGATCTTCTTCTCGGGTGACCAAAAACTAGAGACTTCTCCCTAGCCAACGAATGTCCCAGTCCGAGAAATTATACAACTAAAAATTGGATAACTCAATACCTCTGACCGCATCTGCCAGTTTCTTTGAGCCCCAGCCGAGATAGACCTTAAGTTATATTATGTTAGTGACATAGTAGCGTTAAAATTTCCTTGAGAATTTTATAAGGCAAGAAATTTCACTCGTTAGTGTATAGTCGGCTGTAACGAAATGAAAGACAAGCCGACACCAAGATCCCGATGTTCACCGCAAAGTTTCGGACTCTGTCTTAGTTGCCGTCCATTATTGCGCTTACTAGGTTTAGTAATGTCTGCATCGTCCGCTCTAGTAAAGTTACTTCTTTCTGTCACAATTTAATACTGAGCCTGAAAGTGCTCAATTTTTTCTTAAGGTATTCCAGAAATGGTTTTATTAACTTTGTGAACACATAAGGGGTATAATTTACCCTAAACGGTACAACATTGTATTGGAAGAGCTGTCTCTTGAATAAGAATCTGGAATATATTCTATCACTCTCCCTAACGGGTACCAAAATCCCTGCATATTCCAAATCCAGATTCGTTAACAAAGTATCTCTATGGAGCAGTCTAATCCCAGTTCAATGGCCTAGACTTAAGTGTTATATCCCTATAAACAAGAAGTTTTGAAGTAAATAATCAAACCTGTTGACCCCTGAGACTTGGGGGCAAGAAAAAGTTGGATTGGTGCTGATTTTTAGTTAGCTCAACTTTTTTACTGATAGCACCGCAGCCAAGCAATTCCTAGATGGACTAATGAGATTCAGCTATGGAAAAGTGCTAAAACAGCCACTATCTGAATGGCAAGTGACCAACCTTGAGTCCAACTCAGGACTTTAGCGCCATTCCTAAAGCTCTGCCATTGATGATAACTCGTTAATGTCCATGCTGATCTACATACCTCATCTGCAATAGTGGGTTGATATGGGTAAGACGTCAATGGTTGATGTCAGTACGTTGTCTGGCCTTTTGGCCTTCAGTTGCTGATCTGTTTATCTGGTTTCTATTTAGATCTGACTTACTTGGTCAGACCTACACCGAAGAGCAAGATATCACTGGAAGCCTCTGTCAGACTACTCCTGAGTTCTTTGCTTTAATGTGAATATCTGCCAGCACACACTCCCTTCTTCGAAACTAGATGATAAAGTATTGCTACTTGTAGTTAATGAACAGCTCACATGTTGCTGTACACAGTCCAAGCACGCATCCCTGTGTGCGACAATTTCTATTATGGCATCCGTTACCTCAGGGTTCACCTTAGGTGGCTAGAATAGAACAGAATTTATTCATCTATGGTCATCAACAAGATTTGTCCTCGAAATGTCAGCCTTAGAACAACGCGCGAACATTAATTATACTAAGGTTGCCGCATCATCGTGGTGATGCGTCATCTATTGAAACAGACTACATGGCCTTTAAGAGAACACAATCCAGAGCACCCTGCTGTTCGAGTGCCACCTATGCAAAATGTAGCGTTAATCGGGCATAATGATATTTAACTTTCGTTATTACTGAACATTAGAACTTTGGTGGTTTCCCGGAGATGTTCATACGTTTGCTATCACAAGCAAAATGTAACGCTAGTCTACCATAGATGTTCCTAATTTCTATATGTTGTTAATGAAAAATAGTACTTCAGCTGAATCGTAACCTGTCATGTGCATATTATTGACCTGTTCGATGGCTATTCCAAACCATAGGGAATTTGCTATCACAAGCAAAATAAAACCTAATATCTATCTGTTATTAACGAAAAATGGTACTTTAGTGGTTTCCTAAACTGACATGTGCATTCTGATAAAGATATTCCAAGCTAAATGAAATTTGCTATCACAGGCAAAATGTAACGCTAACCTCGCATAAGGTGCCTATTATTTATCTGGTGATAAGAAAAAGATATACATTGGCGGTTTTCTAACCTGACATTTTCATAATGACATACCTGTTCCACGGTTATTACAAACCACGTGGAATTTGGTATCACAAGCTAGTCTCGCATAGATGTAGCTAATCTCTGTCCTTCTTTATTGAAAAATGGTACTTCGACTTCTTCCTAACTTCTCGTGTGCATCCTTACAATATTGTTTCATAGTTATCACAAACCAGATGGAATTTGCTATCCTAAGCAAAATGTACCGCTAGTCTTACATAGATGTACCCAATTTTTATCTGTTATGAATGAAAAATGTTATATTTCTACATTGCTATCACAAACCAGATAGAATTTACTATCCCAAGCAAAATGTACCGCTCTAGTCTCACATAGATGTACCCAATTTTTATCTGTTATAAATGAAAAATGCTATATTGCTACATTGCTATTACAAACTAGGTGGGATTTTCTATCTCAAACAAAATGTAACGCTAGTCTCCATATACGAACCTAATCTCTATTTGTTATTAATGAAAAATGGTACTTCTTCAGTTTCCTAAACAGCCCTGTGCATTCTTATTATGCTGTTCCAGAGTTATCACAAACCAGATGGAATTTGCCATCACAAGCAAAATGTAACGCTAACCTCGCATAACATACCTAATCTCTATCTGGTAATAAGGAAAAAATATATCTTAACAACTTCCTAGCCTGCCACGTTCAAACTTACGGTCCTGTTCCATGGTTATCCCAAACCAGATGAAATATGCTATCACAAGCAAATGAGAAAAGATTGTTGACCATACCTTGTTGCTACGTTGTCCCAAACTCTTTCAGTGTTGTTATTTGTGTATTGAGTCATTTTTCCAAACATCTTCATTCGTCCTTGGTGTGGACCATCACAAGCGAGGTCCATGTTGCTATCCCAAGCAACCGAATCCAATGTTACAACGTTATCCCAAATGTCTCCGTTCATCCTTGGTGTGGAGCTGACCAGCGCAAGCCAGGTCCACGTTGCTATCCCAAGCAACCGAGTCTAATGCTTCCACGTTATCCCAAACGTCTTCGTTCGTCCTTGGTGTGGAGCTGACTATCCCAAGCCAGGTCCACGTTGCTATCCCAAGCAACCGAGTCCAATGTTTCAGCGTTATCCGAAATGTCTTTGTTCGTCCTAGGTATGAAGTTGGCTATCACAAGCTAGGTCCAGCTTGCTATCCCAAGCAACAGTGTCAGAACGTTATCCCACACGCCATGCTAGGCACAATTTGCAGCGCCGGTGAGGCATCCATACTAATATTCATTTAACTTGCACCTAAAACAGATCGGTTAGTTGATAGTTACCTGATGGTGACGCCCCTTCAGAAAAAGAGGCCTGCACGCCACTTTCTAATTTTGGTCGGCGACGAATGCAACCTTCAGGCGATCGTCGGTCGGTATTTCTTTCGCAAAGAACACCTGCCTTCTGTCATGTTTTCTAATTCTAAATGTTCAGTGGATCCTTGACACTACACTGCACGTAGCACGTATACGAGGCGCGCCGATTAACGTCTTGACGGTCGGGCACGAGAACAAGGAATGAAGGTTTATTGGTGGCCAGAGGGCAGAAAGGTAGGGGGAAGGGACGCGGTGCCGCTTTCCTTCTCTGCGTGCGCGCTTTGAAATTGTGACGGTTGGATACTACTACGAGGGTATTACGATATGTATTCTATATATTTACTTCGATGAGGACAGAACATAATAACGTTCTTGCTAATCATTAATTTGTACACCAAATGTGCTATTGCGGAATTTCCTCAATTAAAAACTACTCTCTTCTAAATGTCATTTTTGTTGAATAAACTATAGTGCCCTTTCAGATAATATACAGGGTGACTTTGAAGTTGAGTAATTAATTTTCAGATAATGATTGTAGAAGGAAGATAAACCAAAATATGTGTGTAAAAATAAAAAAATAAATAAAAAAAATTTTACCTTGTTTAATAAAGTATCGTCCCGACAAGTATTTCAGTGCGGACCTGTATTTGATCGTGCGATCTTGGAGCAGCATGCCCTGACCTGTGAGGTCTTAAGTCACCTGATTCACGAGCCCTTTGTACTACATTAACAAAGGCACGAGGGGTTGGTTGCACTCGATTGGGAAGCCGATTCGCATAAATCCGTGATGCATCCGGGAGCATTTTGTAAAGACTGCCCCCCCGTAAATAAGAATCATGTCCACAAGTTCAGCATTTTCGTAAGCATGTGCCATTTTTGATTTCGTTTGAGCCACGCAACAAACACTTACTATTCACTAACGCGTTATCGACTGACGAAAAACGTCGTGATAAACGTTTCAAATTCTTTCGCTTTTTTGTTTCCGATGCGATGAACCGGTCAGGCGGATTATATCCGTTGTCGCCAAACACGAACATATTATTATTGAGACAGGGCAGTACTCAAACTTCCAAAGGGCTATAACTTTGTTACTTTAATTTTACCAGAAAAATGGTAAAGGAAAAAAACATTTCTTTTGATCAGATCTACTCACTGTTAAAATAAATGACTCAACTTCGAAGTCACCCTGTATAACAAGCATTTAAAAAATGGGAGTAACTCTCACATTGTGAGTGTTGGATATATAAATATTATAAGTTCAAAACAGGCCAGGTTTAGGGTTTTATTATGAATATAGGTAGTGATTGAGATACTGAATATATTCCACCTTGCATAATAACTTCAATGCAGATGCTTTCGTAATGTGTTTGATCGCTGTTTTTAAATTTCAACTTATTGCTGTTTGGTATTCCTCCTGGATATAAAATGCTCCTAAAATCATGCTTTCAAAGATGTAATCCCTCTATAGATAGAGCTTAGTATTATAGTACTCACTAATATTTACTTATGCCCATAGTGGATTTTGTTTGTTTTTACAAATGATGAGTCGAGATCCATGCTGTTTTTAAATGTAGAAGCTGATGGCGGTAATGTTCAACATTAGTGAGTACTATCGCTAGTACTTCATATGCATATCCCATGTACCATACTGGAACCATACGTTTACATATCTTGCACGTTAGTGGTCTAGAGTTAGATTTGAGTTCAACAAAAAATCTCTGGCAAAGTGTGGTTGATCCTATAATGAAAGTAAAATAGAAGTGTCATTGAAAATTGTTAATGCACATGCTTACCGTATTGCATAAGAACTTGTAGGTTGCTGAGTACAGAGTTCGAAGTATTCGTAATATATAAGTACTTGCAAGTATTAATGAAAAACTCACCAAAAAGAATTTGTAAATACAGTTGAACCAACTGCCTGCTTTTCGAGATAACGATCCAGCAACAGAAAACAATAAATATGGACAATTTTAAGAACTGCCAGAGATTCCTTGTTATGAATAATACATGTTGCTAGAAACCATACTCTAGATCTAGAATATACGATGGAAACTGATTTTTACGAACAGAATACATAATTACTATATACATCAATTTTTAAAATAGGAAACTGATATATTTTCCTTAGATATCTTTACAAAAATCTTATTACCTACCGGAAGAGCAAAATATACAATGAATCGTCGTAGGCGAATGCAAAATATTTTGTTTACATGAAATATCTAGTTCGAAAATAAAAAAAAATATCCTGCAATAAAAGATAAAAAACCTGAATGGGTTAAAAAGCATGTACATTAGGACTGGAGCTACGAGTCTTAAGATAACCAGAGCTAAATTCTATATTTTTTTTTGTAAATACCTGCAGTCGATCTAGAGGTATTTAAGTTGGTGGACCATGGAAGGCCATGCTCATCCTAAGCCACCTATTAAAAAGTCGTAGTTATTCCAATGCGATGATAAATTCCTTCTACTTACATTTATTTATTTTGTCAATGCGGTCTCTCGCTTTGTGACATCGACCGTCGACATTAAAATTGCATTCCTAGCTCAAAGTAAAAATAACTATCTTCTTTATTTTTTTTAATTGTAGAATTTCAACGCTATCTGGCATTACATAAGAAGGGCATTTTGGTCGTTTCAAATTAATTTTTCATCAAAATTATGAAGTTATAGTAGCTTATTTGATATGGATCATAAAGAACATTCATATTTTCACGAATACATTCTTAGTTTTGCTATAGCGTTCAAATTATGTTCATTGACTATTATTTGTGAGACTATATTGTGAGTATTTGATATTTCATTCTAATGAAATCCTTGTATATGTAGCTTAAGTAATATCGGCAGATATTTTGATCACAATGTGACTTTTAAGCGAAACTACTGATTTATTATTCTGACCCTGTATGGAGCTTTGTTATTTGCAGAGCCGTTCGAGGGTATTTAAAATAAAAAAAAAATATTTTATAAGCTATATAATACTGCAAAGTGTTACTTAATAATTTGTTTCATTGATCCAATAAATAAATTAATAATAATTACTTATTTGTTAACGTGGCTTCACATGGTCCACCCTTTATACATCAGAGCAAAACTGTATTGCCTTTGTTCAATATGTGGAATAGACGACATACAATTTGTACTAGTCCATATGTCCATATTCTCTGTCACCTACTTGTGTCACCCGGTAGTTGTCTATCGCATTTTACAATTTCAGCTAATTATTTTGCACTGGTTATCAGGAATGCATGCGCCATTTTTTTTGTTGTACTTGAGCTCCATTCTATCTATCTTTTCCTAGTGTAAGACTTTTTTAGATTAGATAATAAAGACATTCAAATGATTAATTATACGTCGAGTTGCATTCGCCTAAGTAGATTTGTGCAAAATCGAATAGAATTTGTTATCTAATGATGATACCCTTTTCAGCCATTGTGAAGATCTCATAGTAACACCATTCGCACAAATTCTTGCCAGTTTACGAAGTGTTCGCAACAATATACAATGTCTCACCAATGTGCCCTCCACAAACAAGTAAGTACTAGCGTTCGATCCAAGAGATCCAATTGACGTAATTGTGTTGAATCCGCCCTCAGTGAGTTGCAGATTGCAGCCTCGTAGAACATTTGATGAAGTTCAACTTGTTGACAATACGGAATTGGTAGTTCGCTACCGAAGTCAGGTAGACGTGATATCGTTACGCAGCATCCATATTAAACATAGACGAGGCGGAAACTTCGCATTCGTAAGAGAAATCAGGGCCGATTTTTCTTACGTAACCACGTTCGTTGGATTTAGCATTTAGCAATTTGCTACATGTTTTTGTTGCTTTTCGGGGTCTTGTACTGGAAGATTTTAGCTTTTATTTATAGCTTGGTAACCTTGGTAAATAGTATTAACCGAGCTTTCAAGCATTGAAAATTGCCATTTTAAAGTTTTTCAGACTTCAAATGGTTACATGTAACTCGATAAAGCTGAATCTTAGAGACAAGTTATTAAGGACCCTCTTTGCTAAAGATGGTCAAACAAGGCTGAGCAAACTTTGTTTGGAGCAAAAAACAGGTTTTGCAATTTGTTTAAAAAAATGATAAAAGGAAAATGCACCGAGCTACAGCCCGGTAACCTCTACATTCCTATTAAGAGGCACGCGACAAACGTGATTATGTAAGAAAATCGAGTCGAAAAATTTCTTCCACGAATGCAATATTTCCGCCTGATCTAAAAGGAGCAATATGGAATATTACTGTCTTGCTACTAGTGCAGTCAATTGCAGAAGAAATAATGCGGGGATATATGAATGGGTTGAGGATCTCATGCACCAAGGTCTGCCGGTTTGGCTTCTTGTACATACAAGTTTGGACATCCCAATAACGACACAAAGAATAAAATCTTGAGCGCAAACCATTTGGAGCGGATCTCAATCTCGTAGGATTATGAATGAGTATAGGATAGTACATCCGAAAAATTGTATCCAGCAACACTTAACTTGCAGAAGTGAGCTTTCAGAACTTCTACCCGTCTTATATAGTGAATTCAACGTCTATAATCAGCTTCAAAAACAATTATGATAGATACCACGGTGCTTAACATAGTGTCTCCTTCAGAATTGACCAATTGTCTATTAAATACTGGAACAGCCCCACATTTTTTAGAAAACAGATACTTAGAAAAGTTCCAGAATATCAAAAAAGCAAATTATCGATGGCTTTGAATATGACCTAGACAATAACCTTGTCATTTAGGTGCCGAATACAAAAGTTCAAATGACAACCACTATTCTTGACAGAAAATTCTTTCCTCGAGATTAGAATGCATTTTCATGCATGAGGTGAAGCGGCCGTAAGTGGTTCAAACAGTTAAACCTACTGTAACGTCCGAAAACTAGACATCCATGCATTTTTTTCGAAAAAGGTTCTGGAAGGATTTTAGGATATCTGAAAAGTAATTTTCCGATGACTTCAAATATAACATAGATAATGTTGTCAGAGGTCACTTGAGGGTCGAGTTTCAAATCCACATAAAATAGCAACCATTATTTTTGATGGCAGATTCGTGTCTTGCCTGGAAACATGCGTGATCACTTTTCAGACGTCAAAGCATGACTTTCTCACTGAATTACTTTTTACCGCTTGGCTCCATGTTGGAAAATGCACTCTGAGGTAGACTCTCCAGCTCAACTCGAATCTACTGTCAAAAAGAGTTGTTGATATCTAAATTTACGAACTTGACCTCCAAATGTCCTCTGAGGTCTTTATATAGGTCATATTTAAGGTCATTGTCTAACTGGTATCGTAAAACTTTTCTTAAAACCTTTTTCTTCTAAGACGTTACAGTAGGTCATACTTATTGAACTACTTATGGCCGCTTCACTCCATGTATGAAGATACAGTCTGATTTATAATCTTGAACGCGACACTAATCTGCTGTCAAAAATGGTGGTTGCCATTTTAACTTACAACCTTCTCAAAATGAGCTCTAAGATCATTGCCTAGATCATATTTGAAGTAATCGGAAATCGCTATTTTGTTAACCTGAAACCTTTTTTGAAACCTTTTTCCCAAAAAGTCCGTAGTTGTCAAGTTTTCGGTGTGTTAGGCTATTCAATACACTTGTGCTCAACTGAAATTTATTATTTGATTATAATAATGATATTTTAAGACACCGCTATCAAAGGTCAGTAAGTTTCTGTGTAAGAAACTGCAAAAAAAAAACTTGAGACCATTATGTATTCGCATCTTGACTTACTTGTCACCTCATTCAAAGTTGTATGTATAATCTGCCTGCTGTTGTCAATTTAAAAAAAATATTTAATGCAATTGACCAAGAAGTTTAAGAAAAGGAAACCTTGAGCCTAAACATGTAAGATTTCATCTGCGATACTACCAACTTATGACAATAATTGTTGAAATTGAAATTGTTCAACAATTTTCGACATTTTCTTTCAAGTTTCATTATCCACTAAGTCCCTGTAGGCTGCTGACACTTTCTCATGTTTATGGTTTGTATGCCCAGCTTTTATTACAAACTTCTATCTGGTGAAGTACCGTATCAAAACTAATAAAATCTATATTTTCTTGTTTGGTTTTATCTAATGCAATGATGCAGTTAATATATTTCGCGTATCCCAGCGAACGATGTATTATCACTTTTGTTTATAAACAAACTAAGAAATTGATTTTCAGATCTCGACGCTCATCAGGAGCAGTAGGCTCTACCACACCACAACCCAAGAACCTGAACCCAGGAGGTAATATACAAGTTTAGATAGATTCTTTTTAAAAAGCATTATATTACAAAGAAGCTGAAAATAGCGAATTTAAAGTTCAAATGTGATCTCGTATCATAATAATACAACATTCAAAAGCATATTAGTTTCTACTGTGCTTCTATTTTACTATTCACAACTTTTCAGATGATGCATACAGAAAGCTTGCAACGGAAACAATGGAAGAGTTAGATTGGTGCTTAGATCAGCTAGAGACTATCCAAACACATAGGTCTGTCTCAGATATGGCTTCTTTGAAGGTAAACATTTATCAATTCGTTGTTTAATTAATCGGGAAATGTTTGATGCTTCGAATATATAGGTGTACTACCTCTAATTTTTTTCAGTTCAAACGTATGTTGAATAAGGAACTATCCCACTTTTCTGAATCAAGCAAATCTGGCAATCAGATATCGGAGTATATATGCTCCACATTTTTGGGTAAGTAGGTGAAGTACTATTAAAACGAATTAGGTTATCACTGACGTAGTAAACAGGGATGCTATTTTTTGCGATATTCGTAATTCAAATTAAGGTAATAACGCAAACATCGCACATGTAACGAAAGTCAATGAGTATACACCTGAGAGAAATATTTTTATCAGCTAGCAAAGCGATAGCCCGGTCATCCGGATACTACGTATATATTAGGTGATAGGAATCATATGGCTGAATAATGTATCAAGGTGTTCATTTGAAAACTTCCCACCACGGAATTATCGAAAACCACTGATTAAAAGAAAAAACGCCGAGACACGTTAAAAGATTTGTCAAGGGGGGCGACTTATCAACCAAAAACTACTTCACCCTCTGCCCCCCAGGGTCATCGCCATAAACATTTTAAATGACAAGGGGTATTGAGTAATAGCTTGTATGAAAGGTCTTCCGAAGTCTTTTATTTTGACGTTTGATTTTTTAAAATCGGTCGATTGGTGTTCAAGACAATTATAAAAATCTTTATTTATCTTAACTTGTCCAGTTAGAACACGAAAATATCACTTTTTGTTCCAATAAAAGTTCAAAATGATACCCTTTATTGGCCAAACGATGATATAGGTGATGTTCAAATTCTTAATGGACATTAATTTGCAAAAACATGTTGTGGGATATCATGGCAGCTTTCGATGATACGTTGACGAAATTCATCCAAGCTTTCAGGTTGGGGAGTAAACATAATGGGTTTCAGAGGGTCCCATAGAAAAAAGGCTAAGAGCGTCAAATCAGGAGATCTATCAAGCCATTCTGTAGGCCCTCTTCGCCCTATCCATTTATCTGGAAACTCGTCGTCTAGCCATTGCCGAACCGGAAGAACATAGTGAGGAGGAGCGCCGTCTAGTTGGAAATATATTTCAGCCTTATCAAGTATAGACTTTCCATCCTTTTCAATTTGGTTTTCAATGATTTCAGTGATAAGCGGAATGATGGTATTTTCCAACATATCCAAGTAAATTTCAAATTTCCATTGATAAACAATGTTTCCTAAAATACCTGCCCATACATTAATTTTTTGGGGGTACTGGGTATGCCTTTCTACAAAATCTATTTAGATAAAATTGTGCATTCTTCACTGAAGCAGATATTCTATACATGAACGGTATTATCATCGCTGTTCATTTGTTCACAAAACACAACTCGCCTATCGAAATCATCTCCGGCTAACTTTTGCAATAATTTTGAATGGATGAAATTTATGGAGTTTAGTAACTGTGTGCCTAATGAAATACCAATCGCAGCAACAACAATTTTGCGTAGTAAAGTATTAGGATTTATTCAAAATGACCCAAAACTTCAACTTGAGCGGCTTCATCCAAAACTCTCCGATGATCACGTTTTTTATTTGGAACAGATCCAGTTTGAATAAATTTAGTGACAAGGTCCAAAACATACCTTTGCAAAGTTATCTTCTCAGGATGTCTGGGGTTAAACGTGACGAGCACATTGATTTTGGGCACCATAAATTATAATCATTTCCATTCTTTCGGCTAGTGTGTAAACCATTTTGGAAGTAAAATCTAAATCAATCAATTAATTTTCACTATCCCAGATTGTCACAAAGGCAAGTGACATCAAATTAGATTCTTTCTTTTTCTTAGCAACAAATGACTAAACAGGTATAACAATAAATACAGTTCTCCCAGGAAAAGCTGTGTTGATGAAAAGAATGCGGAACTAAATTCGGGTTGTTATTTGGTTGTTGCCACGTCTAATCTTTCGAATTGCTGTTATGTTGGTAGTTACCGTTTTAAATTATAAACGAATTGTAGATTTGGCAAACCTTAACGGGCAACATTTTAAACACTTGTTGAAATGAATGAAAGTAATATTTTCGTGTTTTTTGATTTATATCTGAACAAATTAAGATAGATAAAGGTTTTACTAATTTTCTTGAAAACGGATCGACTGATTTTGAAAAATCAAACGTCAAAATAAAGGACTTCGAAAGACCTTTCAAAGAAGCTAATACTCAATACCACTTGTCATTTAAAAAATTTTAAAGGAAATGACCCTGGAGGTCGACGGTGAAAAGGGGTTAAGTAGTTTTTGGTTGAAGAGCCGTCCCCCTTGAGAGATAAATCCGTGGACCGAGGTTTTCAAATTTACACCCTGTATATATAACGTATTTATCGATCTTTTATCTGCCAACAGCTAGTGAGGAGATTTTAAAAACCCTGTTGGTATATCCATTCTTTGCCTAAAAGTTGACACGTGTGAAAATAGTAGCTGATCCTACATCCAATGTTCCACTCCCTAAATTCTTTATTATTGATAAACCGAAACAAGATATTCAGCATGCGACGGAGATGACAGACAACCCATTAAGCTGAAATTCCTCACAGAAATCTTCACCTTGAGTTTAATTAACCACACAAGGGTTCTTCTAATAAATCTGGCTTTCAGACAAACAACAAGAGCTGGACATAGCAACAATGCGCACCGATGAGATTCCAGAGGCAGCAAAAGCAGCTCAACAGACGCAACAGGCCCAACAACGTAAAGAAGGGCCGAAGAGCAGTATCGCCAGGAGTACCATGTCTCAGATACATGGGGTGAACAGGCGGCCACTTTGTCACACAAACAGTTTTACAGGTAACTTGACAATGTAAAAATATATTCTCAATTTTGCGAACAAAAAGCGGCGAGACATTTCCTCACAAGCTAAAACATAAAATTTTGCGCTAAAGCTGTGACGTAATAATTGCTATCGTGACGTATTCATCAGATCATGCTGTGGATAACAAAAAATCTTCAGGTATAACGTTTTACAGTATATTGTACACATAAAATGCATTATTAAATTAAGGCTTTTTAATTGCATAATTGCTACTGATATATACAGACTGTAAAAGTCAAGTCAGCTCTGTGTCGATATGATGCAAATCTTTCAACCTTCGCTCAGTCTCCTGATGCCATTTTGTTTAGCCAAAGGAGACCCTAGTAGCGCATCTCTAGATGATATTTCGTTGGCTTCCATACGCCTCTAGTGTTTCAGACGATGCCAAAAATGGTAAAGGTTTTTGTGGACGTAAAAAACTGTTTAAGCTGAATGAAATCATATCTTTTTATCTATCTTTATTTTTGCGTTATAAAGAGTAATTTTACGTTTTCCTATTTTTTTAGCGCGACAAGGTTCTATGAAAGAACCTCAACACCCCAAATCGTTATATAGTTATAGTATAGTTATAGTCACCGTTCTTGGCGGTTACGTCATCAACGCCATATGAAATGAGTAAAAAGATGGAGTCTCCGTACCATGGGCGCATCTGCTACCCTCTCCAGTACGCATGGAGTGGGTAACAGGGGACCGCTGTTTTCATTCTCTTCCTGGAAATACTCTAATAAATTTAGTACGAGATGTCGGTCTTCTCCATTGATCGTATTTACGGGCATCGTACAATTTTATATTGAAGATTCATAACAGGACAACTTGAATTGCACGCCGATGTCAAGTGAGTTGTCACACTGACAAATATGACTGATGGGTACTCATACGTAACGACAAAGTTGTCGAGACGGAGACACAGGGAAGAAACGTTCACACACAGGGGTAGGTTGCCTGTGTTTGTATGAGGGAGATGGAGATATGTAAAGGAATACTGGTAGTCTTACTTTGACCCGCCAAGAACGGTGACTACAACTATACCAAATTAATTAAATGACTTCAAATGTTGTTATAGTATCAGCATAGTTGGTAACAATGATATGACAGCAGTAATTAACATTATATCTTTAGCTAGGCATTTGATTTTCGCCAAGTGTCTACTTATATCATTGCTGCTATCTGATGACAATTTTTCATATTTTAACTTTACAAAAATACGGATTTAGCCAGAATTATTCATAAGCTGTAGTTGATAGATATTTAATTTCGTTATTATTTCCTAAATTTTCTTTTCAAAGTTTTCTTTTTACAGTCAAGATATACCTGCCTGTGTTCTTGTATGCAACGTAATAAAAGTTGTTTATGTTCCTCATCAGCACTGATTAAGCCATGGAAGTCTTGCATTAACTTGACTGCTCTTTCTGCCGTATCGTTAACAGCTCTCAGTGTTTGCACCTTATTTTTAGCATGTTGAAAAGAATCATTATGTGGCTATGAGGTTGGTCGAGAAAACTGTCATCAATTTTGAGTCGACTGAACATGGACTTGCTTTTAATCGCAACAAAGTCATCGATATTTTTCTCTGAAATGGAAAAACGAAGAGAAGCTGCCATCTAAACATACTGGTTTTGTCCGTCCAACCACAAACAGTTAACCATGGACGTTTATGCTTTTTGGCAACTCATCAACATCCTCTAGGCTTGACCTCAGGTCAGGGCAACAAACGGAAGTATAGCAACTAACCTCTATCTGAGGTATAAGATCTATCGAAACAAGACAGTATAATGTGACATCTATTGTCAGAATTGCAGTTTAAGCTGGCTGATTTTAACAGTTAGCATAATATATCGAAGCAGTAAAAGAAAAAAAAAACAATTTATTTATCAAACTTACCATAAAGTGGGCCAGAAAGTTCTTCTTTCAATGGGCTGTAGCGCTTACCGGTGGCCATTGGACAATTTTTACTTTACCTCATCTGTCAAATAGCATAAATGCTTTTGTTAAGCTGCATTTGAAATGGTTTTGTCAATTCTTCCGTAAACCGCTAAAGTGAATTGCAACCAAGGTTTCAAGTATGTTGTCACGATGAACAGACATATATCTAACAGAGCTGCCTTATCCTTATTAAAAAGTTTGAGCTCGGATCCTAGTATCACTATTTTTAATGAATAGATTGCTCTGGCCATCCATCGAACTTGAGGCGTGGCGCCTGGCGGTCGAATCATACATTTTTTCTCTGTATTTCCGCCAAGGAATATTATTGAATGTTCTATTAATTCTCAACAGTCGTCTTTAGCATTTTTTTGGTCAATCCATGTCGATAAAATTATAGCAGCTTGACAGTCTCTGAAATAGTCAGGCATGATAGCTTTTCAGTATAAATCTGTATTTTCTCGGGATCCACACTTTTCCTGTTGTCGCGAAACTTTTTAAACATTGGAATGTCAGAGCTTGTAGCCACTTGTTCTATCTTTGATTCAAAAACGCCTTTTGCGACCCGTATTTGAAGCAGTAATATCACAAAAATCTGAACCTTATCTTCAAGATTCCAGTCAATAATAGCATCCCAAGCTGCCTGAGCCTGCTCGGTGCCTGAAGAGCTATCCAATTTGGGCACAGCAATGAGCTGCTCTTTATTTTCATACGTTATAACAATTGATAGACGTTCTTCTTTAGAGTTGCGTACATTTAAAGGTGTCAACAATTTGCCACTCCAGTGGACAGATATAGTATCCGATACCTCGCTTTGGAAATCAAGCTATATAGCTTCTGCGCGCGCCTTTCGCTACGAATTATTTGAATGAAGAACTTGCTTATAGGAAATTTGCCAGTGTCATGTCCAAGTGCCTCAATGGTTGCTTCAATAATAAAAACAGTATAGCTCATGCTTAACTGGCACCTATCTAATGCTGCCACTAATTTTGAAGTTATGACATTTTTCCTCATTTGAGTTTGATTAGTATCAGACTGTGCTCTGAGTTAGGATGGGTACAGTTTCTTGTAAATCTATCTCGGAATGTAAAGATGAATTTTCTTTCACTGCTTCGTAAGATGATGTCGAAGGAGCTTAGGAAGCAACATATTCAGCTCGCCGCTTTTTTATTCGGTGTTCCTAAGATGCGTCTTTTCTTCTTTTATGGTTGATTTCTTGTTCCCAGCTAAATGACCAGGTCGACCTGGATCTCTCTGCCGCAGCAAAAAGATCTTCATTTATTTTCATCAACTGAAGCGCATTGGCATGCGCAATATCAAACAGTTTGCCAAGTTCGCAACAAACTCTTGTTGACGTTGCTCAAACACTGACTGTAAAAAGAAAACATTGAACAGAAAATTTAGTAAATAATGTTCTTTCAAAGAATTAGGTTTTGAAATTCATACATTAACATTCAAATTCAAAGTTTGACCGAAAGTCGGCACCGGTTATCGTTTCCCGATCGTAATAATATTTATGTTTTGAGTTGTTAGAGTCATATGTAAAAAATAGATGGTAAGCGTTTGAACAAAAGAACTTTCATTTTTTGAGACACCCTAATGTACAGTCACAGCTAAAGCGATCTGAAGATCTTGTTTCCAGTTGAAATGATCATAATGATACTCCATTCAAAAGGAGCATTACTTGAAATGAAGTGATAATAACACGTACATGTATACCAAAAATATTTGTAAATAACTCACTGAACACTGTGAACGACCATTTAAAACGCTAACAGTATGAACGCGATTAACGTCAAATTACTGAATTATGTGAACTTTGAAAGATGAGACAAGCTATGTCTTCCATAAATGATTCGTCACTATCTCCTAGTGTCGATGGTTATTTTGTTAGCTTAATGAACGTCTATGAAATTGAGTCGGTATGCTTACAGGTGATCGGCTTCCAACGTATGGCATCGAGACACCTCATGAAGAAGAGCTAGGTAAATGTCTGGCAAATGTCAACAGTTGGGGCATCGACATATTCAAAATTGGCGACCTCAGCAATGGGAAACCGCTTACTTGTGTGGCTTACACGATCTTCGGGTAAGTTGAGATAAGCCTTGTTTATCATCTCAACATGGAGATGATTCACCCATACTTTGTAGTAATATATCGGAAACTACCTTAACAAAACCCCAAGATATTGTTGACTCATTTAAACAGTATTTAATATGTGAAGCTGATGTTCTTAAAGCGGCGAAAAAGTTAAAAGATAAGTTAATTATAGGCCCTGATCAAATACCCAGCTTCTTAGTGAAGGATTGCATACATGCACTACTCAGACCATTAATACATCTGTTCAACATTATTTTGAAGACGGGCATCTTTACAGACAACTGGAAGATATCCAGAGTTACCCCGGTGCTGAAGAAGAGTGATAGAGCTTTAATTAAAAATTACCGCCCAATCGTTGCAGTATCCAAGTTTTCAAAGCTATTTAAAATTATTGTTTATGAAGTGATTTATATTCACACTAAAAACCTCATTGTAGCAGAACAGCATGGCTTCCAAGAGAAAAAATCTTGTACGTCAAATCTGGTATGTATTACTCAATCCATCAGTGAAAACCTTGATAGCACATACAGAAGGCATTTGACCGAGTAGACTTATACATTTTAATGAAAAAATTACAAGGATTTGGGTTTTCGGCACGTCTTCTAAGCTTGCTTAAATCGTATTTATTTAATCGAGTGCAATTTGTGGAATATGAAGGGCACCGCTCTGATATTTTCTCGCCAAAATCTGGGATTCCCCAAGGATCGAATTTAGGACCTCTATTGTTTTTGTTATATATAAACGACCTAGCTATGATGATTACATGCCAAAAGTTGCTCTATGCAGAGGACCTCAAAATTTTTCATAACATAAGCTCAAATTCGGACTGCCAAATTTTACAAGGCAACATTGACCTTGCCTTGGATTGGTGTAATGCTAATCATTTTGAAGTTAATGTAGATAAATGCTTCATATTAACGTACACCAGAAAGAAAGAACCAATAACATGGTCCTACAAAATAAGCGAGAATAAGTTGAATAGGTGTTATCAAATGAAAGTTATCGGTGTTCTCTTATAGCAATTTGTCATTTTGTGATCATATAAATGATATCACAACATCAGCCAACCGAATGTTGGGCTTCATCATCCGAAACAGTAGATAATTTTCCAATTTACATGTTTTGAAACTTCTTTATTCTTCGTACGTTCGATCTAAATTGGAAAGTTGTTCTTTAATTTGGTATCCCATCTATTCGGTTCATATAAGCCGTATTGAGCGAATACAAAGAAAGATTTTGAAATTTCTGCATTTCAAGTGGACAGGCGAATATCCGGAGAGAGGATGTGATTATTCTGTACTCATGAATACATTTGACTATATGTCGCTAAATAGTAGGAGAGTTATAAGTAGTTTAAATTTTCTTTATGATGTTTTGCACAATGATGTCATATGTGAATATATATTAAGTAAGCTTAACTTTCATGTACCTGTGCGCAATTTGCGTCACCAAATGACATTTTACTGCGAATTAGCTCGAACAAATATCTCGAGAGAATCGCCGGTCACGGTTATGTGTGAGAACTTCAATTCTTTAGGTGAATATTGTGATGTGAATACTTCATCTAGAAATGACTTTAAACAACGTTATCTGGCCATTTCCCATGGCATGTAATGACCTTTTTGCGGTTAGAGTTATTCTTTTTTTTTGATATTTTGGCTTTTTGATCTACCTGTATTATTAATTTGATTGTGTTTTTTTATATACTAGGATTATGTGTTGCTCTTGTTTTCTTTTTGAACTATTTCCTGTAATTGGGTGATTGTACCTGTTGGAAATAAAGATCCATCTATCTATTAGCAATTTGGTGTTGACTAAAGTTTGCTTCTGTAATTCCTCACGACTATTTTGAAAAATTCTTCGCTTTTTTCCGATTCATAACGTATTTTAAATCCGCTATACTTATAAGGTCGTTGGTCTACATTTTTGCTGGTTGTTGGGACTGATCTGCCAATCTCATTAGGTTACCGACCCCAAAAGCTAAAAAACATATCTGTCTTCCTTTATTGAAATTTGAAGAGCTTATCATGTTAATAACATGACCTTTAATTTAAGATCTCTTGATTATTTAGACTTCCTGGCCCCTAACCTTGTAAGTATCGCAAAGTCTCTAACGCCACCTTTTACTTGATATCTGTTAATCTTATGATGTTTTATCTCAACAGAACCTAGTATTTCCACCTTCAGCCATACAATGCTTTTGATTCTAGGATACAACGAGAACATATACTGAGTGACTTGCTCGTTCACACTGCGTAAGGATCTGGTCCTCCTAAAAACTTCTCTTATCGATACACCGGTTTCACGCAACTCGAGAATTCGACCCCTCTCAAAGTCACTTAGCTGGGACACCCGGCGAATTCTACGAACTCTAGGCATTTTGAGCAATCACAAAAAGGCTTCTCAATAGGCTACACGAAATTTAACATTTAACTGACACCGTAAATGTACGAAAACTGAATGCTTCTTTATCACCAAACAATAAACGTAGCCATCACAAAAACCTGACCATTTTATCATTTGTTGTTCATGGCAATATACGTAGATCGATATGTAAAACATTCTTGAATTCTAATAAACATACGTAGGTGTTTCCTTTTTTTTGTCACTCAGTACACATCATTTTCGAAAATAACTTTTTTCAGCAGCAATTATAAAGAAAGCTTCCTTAAGGTACGTTTACATCTGACATATATTACATGATATTTATGTCAGACACTAGTTCTGACTAATGTAAACGACCAAAAATTTATGTCTGACATATATGTATACGTCTTTGGTAATATGTGTCGAGATATCTATACGATTAATGTAAACATTGAGGTTTTACAAGTCTTGACTCGCCGGAAATAAATCGGGCTAGTTGACCAGTCGTCTACTTTTGAAGAAGTGTCCAGAAATTTATTCTCGCATATACACGATGGGTGATAAGAAAGAATGGCTGAAAAGTGAAATCGATGTGCTAATTAATATAATAATAATAATAATAATAATAATAATAATAATAATAATAATAGCCTTTATTTAACCTGGCGGGTGTCAGCTAAAAGCTGTTTTTCATACCAACCAGGGCCAAACAAAATTATAATACAAAATCTGGGAGACATAAACATTGTTGAGTAACAATAATGAAAAATCTATTATGCCAAGAATAGGCATTTTTTTAATTTAAAGAAAAAATCATATATATTCACAGTTAACAGTTACACCATTACATAAGTTAAAAACTAAATACTCGTAATATAAGGTATTATGACATATTTTCAAAAACAATTTTTTTTACTTTTGACCTAAAAAGTGGAACAGATAAAACTTTAAAACTGACAGGGAGCATATTATAGCGATTGGGTGCAACAAAAGAGAAACTCTTAGTAAATAGGGTGGTTCTATGATGGGCGTGTTAAGGGTGTAACCAACGAAACGGAGGTTGGCTGCATGATGCTGACTTCTCAAGGATAACTTATTATTTAAGTATATAGGGTATTTGGTCAATAAAATGCTATGAACCAAACATAAAATGTGAACCAACCACCTCTGCCTCATCGTCAACCAATTCACTTCTTGAATAAATGGAGACACTCGCTCCCTTCTTCGGATTCCAACAGAATATCCAATACAGCTGTTCTGCACTTTCTGAAGTCTGTAAGCTTCGGCTTCAGTCAAACAAGGACCAAACACGGAACTTCCATATTCTAACTTACTTAAAATGAGTGAATCGCAAAGCTTAATTTTAGTATCTTGAGACAACACGTGCTTAAAGCTGTAGATGCTTTTTAGTTTAGCAAAAGAGCTCTGTACAACCTTAGAAATATGATCATGAAAAGTTAAGTGCTCATCAAAGATTATTCCTAAGTTTAATACCGATATTTTGTGTGCGAGCTCTTCACTATTGAGGCATAGCTTTATAGCATCTCCACTGAACTCGTTCTTCTTAGAGCGGAAGGTAATTATGGCCGATTTGCTACAGTTTATGTGTAACCCGTGGTATCTAAACCAATCACAAACGCCCCGTAAATCTACTGCTAGTTTTTCATTAGCATCAACACATATGTACCGCGATAAATCAGAACTCTGGGATGTTAAATGTAAAATTTATAAAGATAGAGTGAAAAAACGAAATGCCCTAAGTGAGCTTGCTGATAAATTTGGAACCACTGTGGATGAAATAACCAGAAAAATTCACAACTTAAGGAATCAATTCAACAGCGAATTTAAAAAACTACTAAGAAAAAATCAGGCCAGGGTACCGACGAACTTTATTTATCAAAGTGGCCGTATTATAAATCCCTTTTGTTTCTACAAAGTGGTATAGTATGCAGATCCGCACTGGGAAATATACCAACGGTAAGAAAAAAGAACATTTTAGTCTTATCTGCTTTATTTTTTCATATTAACCTTACATTAACTTATATTGCCAAGGAACTTCTCCTTGAGGGCTAACAAAATACTCTCGAAACTCTTCTCTAATTTCGCTTGCATTATTCGTATAGTTATTACTACCCTGTTGCGTCAACGGCAAGAAATTTTGCGGTTTATCTTCGTGCCTCCAACTTCCCGGTATTAGCTCACCGGTGTCAGGGTTTTCTCGAACAAATGTACCTTCGGGAGCATATATCATTGCTGAGGATTTTTGAGATAATAAATAATTATGCAAACAGCAGCGGCCGAAACAATTGAATCGACGCGTTCTGGAGCAAGAAGAATTGGTTTCCTAAATATTCTGAATACACTTGACATAATACCAAAAGCATTTTCCACGATTCTTCTGGCTCTGGAAAGTCTATAATTATAAATTCTCATAGAACCTTGACTGTTGAATTAATAAGGTTTCATTATATGTGGTTGCAAAGGAAACGCATCGTCACCTACAAAAAGAGGCGGCACACGTAATACTCTTCCTGGAAGTGCCGATTTCTCTAATTTATTTACTTCCGCTTTTATAAAATGGGAAACTCCGCTAGTTGTAAAAACTCCCCCATTGGAAATTCTTCCATTCGAACCAACTGTGGCGATGAGGAATTTATAGTCAGCATCAACAACTGCCATGAAAACAGTGCTATGTTGTCCCTTATAGTTGAAGTAATAGCTACCACTGTTTCTGAGGCGCTTGGATAACGACATGTTTGCCGTCGCTAGCCCCCAAACAATTTGGAAAATTCCATTTTAGTTCAAATTTCTTGCTAATCCTCTGCCATTCTTCTGGTATGTTTGGTGCCTAAAATATAAACTAGTATTTAATAGATATGTAGGTTATAAATCCGAAACGTGAACTTTTACAGTATGAATCAAAAATTCCGAAACAATGAACGTTTCTCAAATTTCAGTCCCGTAAAAATCTTATCGAACTAAGCCGGATTACTGGGCTCGATTTTATTTTCTAGACTAAAACCAAATACAATGATGCTGTAATGTAAAAGTGTGTTTTATATTACAGTGTGAAATAAATAAGGTTTATGACATCCAGGAATTTAAAATCTATTGTTTTCTAGGATGATGTGGATATGAGTGAAAATGAAATGCAGATACAATATGACAGTCAAGATGTGTCACGTGAGCATTCTGAAGTAAATAATGTTAATAATATTAAACCTAGCAAGAAGCTCAACAGAATTCTAGAAAGAAAAATAAATCTAATAATTTAAAAGAAAGTGATTTCCTCATGCAAAAAGCTGTACACGTTTTTCATGAAGAATAGGATCAATACGATGTATTTGGGAAATACATTGCAACTGAACTGAGAGGCCTTTCATCCGATTATTTACGTAGGAAATTAAAACGAAAATTTCAACAAGCCATATTAGAAATAAGTGAGGAAGAAGATCGACTAAATTCCGTTATCTATACTAATCCCAGTTCAGTGAGCTCATATTCTGCTCCTACTGAACATTCGGAACAGTCTAGTCAACAGACTTTTCCACAGTCTGTAGCTCAGTACTTGCACACAGAAACTGAGAGTAGTTATGTAATTTGTAATGTTGTTTTTCTGAAATTAAAAACTTACTTTCATATATTCGCCTTTCAGTACTTGAAATATTGCTCTACATACTTCCGGAATAATTAAACTTATTGTGCACTTCGGTATTCTAAATAAGTAACTCAAGCTGGTATAAGAGTCACCTGCAAATAATATTATTATTGTTAAATTTTGATTCTTAGAAGGTAAACATAACATATGTATAGTACATTTGTGATTTACTTACCAGACGCCAAGAATTTTAATGTTACAGCAAGCCTCTCGCGCATACTGATAGCTTTTCTGAACTTGGTATCTTGTTTCGATGCAAAAGGCGCTATTTTATTAGCCAAAATTTCAAAATCAGATAATTTCATTCGAATGAAGTTTGAAAATTGTGATGGATCTTCGGCACTGAGCTCACGCATTAATTGGCTGTATGCACCATGTTCTTCACGTCTTAAAATCCGTTCTCGAACCCACACAGCTCGTTTTTACTTATTTCTATTTTTTAACCTATTCATAATAATTACAATAGCAGCACATTTCCTTTTCGATATTTTCATCGTATAGATATCCACTATACCGAGACACCGTCTAGTCTAAACTGAGCTACACTTTAATGTACATTTGTTGCAAGTTCTTGGAATATATGCGATCTCCTACATAAGTATATGATATAAATTTCTAATAATGTAAACAGTTAATGCTACTGATGTCAGATGCTCTTAGATAAATATCGTACAATATGTGTCAGATGTAAACGTACCTTTATGAGCCAAACCTGTTATATCGTTATATAACAATCAAGCATATTTTCCAAACATAACATTCATGTCCCTTTGGACTTTATTGAGTGTTAGGAATTTTTGTTGCAGCAACCGCGACTTGTTGAAGACAATGCTAATACCCGCCAGGACATTTGTGACCTTCATGATGACTTTGGAGGACCACTACTGTAAGGACAATCCGTTCCACAACTCGCTCCATGCTGCGGATGTAGCTCAGAGCACTCACGTTCTCCTCAACACTCCCGCCTTAGAGTCAGTCTTCACCCCGCTCGAAATCACTGCTGCGCTATTTGCGGCATGTGTACATGACGTTGATCACCCGGGGCTTACCAACCAGTTCCTCATCAACTCCAGGTAACTTCATAGCTTGAAACGTGTTCTGGTCCAAGTCGGAACACCCATTGTTTTAAAACAACAACATTTTGGCACAGGTTCCTTGATACAAAGCTTTTTTTTCGGAAATCCATCTACGGCATGTTCCACAATAAAGCGTCTATTAGTATAATCATTTGATACTTTTCATTTCTGTTGTTTTCGAATTTCCACTTCAGTGCCTTCTACCTTATCCGCTTGCACTGTCATATAGAAACGCAGTTTTTCCATAATATCTTTGCTATATAGATAGATTGGCATCTGGAAAATGTTTTGATCATGTTTGTGCACTATCTTTATTCTAAATATCTCTTCGAGGAACATGGTTCTACCCAAACGCAAAACACATCAGATTTCATACAATTTTTATTTTGATTCTTTCTGTACGTACATCACAACTATTCTTCTTACAAAGAATGGTGAATGATATATAAGCTGTAGAAAAGTTTCTCTAGTTTAAATTGTCAGATCGCTTGATATTTCCATCGCAGCTAGAGTCTGAAGTCTGAACGAGGAAACTACAAAAAAACTGTTTTGAAAGATTGACGTCCAAAGTGTAAACTTACAGCAAATGGTAAATAGTAAAGAAAAAAATAAAGTTAATGATATAACAATTCTTTGTAGTTCCGAATTAGCACTGATGTACAATGACGAGAGCGTCCTTGAGAACCACCACTTGGCGGTGGCTTTTAAGTTACTCTCCAATGAGGGTTGTGATATTTTCTGCAACCTGACCAAGAAACAGAGGCAAACGCTGAGGAAGATGGTCATCGATATGGTGCTTAGTACGGATATGTCCAAACATATGAGCTTGCTTGCGGATCTCAAGACGATGGTAGAAACCAAAAAGGTGGCAGGTATGTAACCACCTTAAGAAAAATTTATATTTGGTCTTTTACTTCTGTTTCCTGCTAAAGTCGGGTGAGTCCCCAGTTTTAGACAGTTTTGGAATATGTTTCTTTAAGATTATATTTTGTATCTTGAAATTGTTGCTGCTAATTTAACTTTCATCAGTTTTGAAGTTTCTCTTCATTTAAATATAATTTTCATGCAGGTTCTGGGGTACTGTTGCTGGACAACTATACCGATCGTATACAAGTATTAGAGAACCTGGTCCACTGTGCGGATCTGAGTAATCCAACTAAGCCACTGGCTCTTTATAAGCGTTGGGTGGACCTTCTAATGGAAGAGTTCTTCCAGCAAGGCGATAAAGGTAAGCTTCGAAGTTGAAAACATACTGCACTGCTAGCATGGAAAAGATGAAATATTCAGCAAAAAACGTGTAAAACGTTCCATTAACAAATGATTATATATATATATATATATCGTTAGACTAACGAATATTTATTTTGCTCATATTGCCTGGAAATAGATACTGTCAAAAATTATCTATATCCATCGCTGCATTTCTCAATAGTATTACAAATATACTTGAAATACCTTTAACGTTATAATAAATTACAGTTTATCTAATTTATGCCATTTGCACTCTCTGACATTTTAACATGAATAAGTTGAACGAATGCCAAGTAAAATTTCTGCCATCCAGCTATATTTTGTCTTTTGTTTGAAAACTCGATGAAGGTTGTTTAAAATACGGGTACAGAGACGAATTTAGTAGCATTAGAATTTATGGGTAAGGAAATTGTTATTATAACCAAACTAATGTTCTTTGCTTTGCACATGTACAAAAGTTCCACTACTACCTCACTTAAAAGGCCTGCACTGTAACTCACAAATTGTTGAAATTATGACTTTGATTCTGAAAGTTGATGTTTCTAGTTTTTCAAAACATCTCTCTTATTAACCAACCATTACATCGCTCATGGTTTCATCTGGTAAAGATATCAGTTAACTACATCACGTGGTGCTTATTAAAAATCTTCAAAATCCGAATTAAAATAGTTATGTATGTTTCTAAGGCGTAAAGAGGACGGTTGTAATGTGCGGGGTGAAATTGAACGTAATAAATTAAAAATGCTGAAATAAAAAAAAATGGAGTAGGTTTCTAGTAGAGTTACAATAAATGGATTGTACTATTGTATCACCGATAACGGCGCCGTAGATTACCAACTTACCAACGAATAAACAAGGACAGGACATAGGGTGTTTTGAGGCTACTTTACCGCCCTAGAGCATAAGGAAGTTCATAGGCTATAAAGCGAGACTCAACGACAGAAAATCTATCTATAAAGATCAACTGTATTTGCTTGTGGTGTCCATAAGGAAAACTAAAATTAATGATGAAACGTGAGACATGAAACGCCGATTTGAAATTCTAGCTATGCTGCCCTGTAGAGGAGAGAAAGTAGAAAGGTTATATCTCAAACGCCATCTCAAATAAAGTCGGGAAAAAATGAAGACGATTTTGTTAAAGTTGGTTTCTCCGTCTCTTTCCAGACCACTCAGGAAAAAAAAATATTTTTTTTTCTGGCTGAACACAGTTTTATCTCATTCAACATACCTCGTATCTTTTACCGCTTGCGAGATCTCTGTGGTGAGAGTCAAATTTGAAAAGTATTTTTAACTTATACTGAATGTAATATCTCACATTAAAAGAATTCTGGATCCGACTCTGTTCTAAATACAGCACTATGTGGCATTCGAAAACTTTACACACGAAAAACAGACGTCATTCTATCAAAACTTGTAGGCGTCCAACTAGAATATTAACTATAAATAGGTACAAATGTTTGATGCATAGATGTAGCACCTGTACATTGAATCAATAAGTATATAGTCAACGCCAAACAAAGTGGCGTGCACGTCATCACGATAAAAATTCCCCGACCTAATGCCTAGGTTTCTATCACAAACAATTGCCCTATTGCAGTTTCATATTAATGTGATATATAAATTGTAAAATGGTCATTACTCTCTTATTATGGTTAATAATCATATAAACATTGTTATTAAAATATCACATAAGTTGCTTTCTGATAAATTTAGACGCATTATGCGAAATAAAATGTTTTGCAAACGCTCCAATCACTTATCGACATGTAAACGCACTAAACCGATTTCGCAGCGTTGACACATTGTCACCTTGAAACTTATTTAAACTGGGAACTGACATTTGTATTAATTTTGACACTGAATCAATTTGTGGCATTTCAAATCTTTATAAATCCTTTGGCCCCGCATACTGTAAATCAACAACTGTTTGTTTCAAAACAAAATTATTCATTTTACGAGTAGATAAAGGCAATTTTGGTATATAAAGATGCCCAAACAGTTAAATAGTCGGTGTAAGGAACTCGTGGCCTCGTTAATGCACTACTTTGAGCAAGAAAGGGACAACAACGGGCCTTTGTTGCCTTTAAATGCTGTTCAAGAGGTAGGTTACTAATAATTATATGTAATGTATGTTAATAATAGTGAAATTTTATTTCATTTTTTGTAGCGTGTTGCTGCTGCTTTAAAAATTAGTTTAAGGACAGTTAGTCGTATTTCCGAGGGTGTGAAAAGTGATGCAAATTTAGAATCGCCCAAGAAAAAACGGAGTTATATTAAACGTGTAACCAACACAGCGACATTGGATACAAGTGCCATTCGAGAAGTGATCTATAATATGTATCACAAAAGTAAGATCTTATTATAATAACTTATCAGAAATTTGCATTAATTTGTTAACTAAATTATAATGTCATATTACACATGGTTTCAGAAGAACAAGTTACGATACAAACTTTATGGTCTCGATTAAGAGATAGGGCATTATTTGATGGTAGTGCCACGTCTTTAAGGCGGTTGCTTAGAGATCTGGGATTTAAGTGGCTTAAGGACAATCCGCGACGAGGGCTCATGGAACTACCAAGTATAGCTTTGAAAAGGGTGGAATTTCTAAGGCAATACAATCAAGCCAAGGTTGAGGCCTTATACCAGTTTGTCTTCCTCGATGAAACTTGGATATTTCAAAATGGTACCATAGGTCGCTCTTGGCAAAATGGAAACCAAAAAAGCGTGAAAGCTATTAAAACAGAGGGTAAAAGGTATGTACTTTTACACAATTTGCACTATAAAATTTAAAACTAATATATTTTAGATACATTATATTACATGCTGGAAATGAAAATGGGTTTATTGAGGGTAGTGAAGCGATATTTTCTTCGAAAACAAAATTGAGCGATTACCATGGAGATATGAACCAGGACAATTTTTTGAAATGGTTTCAACATCAGTTATTAGAAAAATTGGAGAGTCCATCTATGATTATACTGGATAACGCCCCTTATCACAGCATGATATTGAACAAAGTGCCCAACAATGCATGGACAAAAAAAATATCCAAGACTGGTTGACAAATCAAAACATACCATTTTTAAACACAATGTTTAAAACAGAGCTATTGAGTATTGTTGCTCGGTACATAATGCTTCTTAATTATATATATTTTGGTCGACAGTTTATATTTCTTTTGTTTATTCCTATTCTTAAAATAACTGCTTTTTTAGAAACAAACCACCTAAAATATACGAGATTGATGAATTGGCGGAACAACATGGGCACAAAGTTCTTCGTCTGCCTCCTTACCATTGTATATTTAACCCTATTGAGTTAATTTGGGGCATAGCAAAAGGTTACTATAACAGACATATTGGTAGAGATGGTAACAGTGAAAAAGACTGTTTGGATATGTGGAACGAGGCTCTACAAACGGTTACCCCAGACATGTGGAAAAATAGTGTTCGACATACTGAGCAAGAAATTTTTAAATGGTATGAAAGAGAACGAATTTTTGATCGACCAGACATCGAACCTTTAATAATCAACTTTGAGAGTGATGAAGATTCAGATTCAGACAGCGCTGAAGAAAGAAACTCCGACTAACTTTATTGTACAGAAAAAGCTTACACCAGTAGCTTACCTAATTTTAGAATGCATTTTTCTGTATGAATTCTGTAAAATAAATACCATGCATAAAATTTGGAGGACCCCATTTGGATTTTTATTCAGTACCTTTAAGCTATCAATTAAATATGGTAGTTTCATAGTGTCATCTGATCAATAATTGTCATACTTAATGATTATGCAAGTACAGATCTATAATTTTATTATACTATTATTTTTGTTCTCATTTGAGGTTAATATTGCTTATAAACCTAGATATGTAAATAATAAATTTTATTATTTTACAAAAAGTTTGGCAACAATGTAAATTTTTCAACACACCCACCTTGATGACGTGCACGCCACTTTGTTTGGCGTTGACTATATGTTTGAATGCATAAACTTTTTTTTACTTGTGACATACCTAATTACGGGTTTATTGGGGCGATATTTCCTAACACTATCACCAATTTTATTGACTTCAGCTACCCTCATCTGTTTTTAAACTAGTGATGTAGGTTCTAGTCTTATGTAAGATAAAGTTAAGTATCTTTTCAGGTCCCATCATTTAACCGACTAATTGAAAAAAATCGGTAGTTCATGCATTATTGCTTCATAAGTATTCAAAGTACTCCTCAGCATCAGGATGTATATCTAGTGAGAGTGCTTAATTTCCTAGCTTCTTCAAACGCTTTGCAATAACCATTTATTCTTTTTCAGAACGCGCAGCCAAGATGGACATAAGCCCGATGTGCGATCGTCACTCAGCGACTGTAGAGAAAACTCAAGTTGGTTTCATAGACTATATCGTCCATCCTCTATGGGAAACGTGGGCAGACTTGGTGCATCCAGATGCCCAGGATATCTTAGATACGCTTGAAGAAAACAGAGACTGGTAAGTAAAAGGTTATGCATCCTATTCGAAATTCGTTACACAGTAGTCAATTTCTGCTGTATATACTATGTTGTACATACGAATCTCCCTTTACTTACAATATGATCGGTTTACGTACTCTGTTTTTATTAGCCGCTTTAGGTAGCAAGCGCACACTATATAATATTAGACTTTAATATTCATGGCTAGTTGTTTCTCATCGTCCCCGCCTTTCAATAATTAGCACCTTTGCTTAGTCATCTTTAATTCCTGCATCCTTAATTCCTCCTCAGGCGCCAAGTCAATTAATGGAACACAATTTACTTGTAACACACTCGACGATATAGCCATATAATCTGTACAGGGTGTTTCTTAATGAAGAAAATATTATAGGGGCGATTTTTGGATCAATTTCAAGAATCAGACTTCATACGAGTGTCGGGACCCTTTCATATCGACGGGCGGTCCGCGATCTTGCTTCTTTGACCGCTATGTTAGGCTTTGCTCCTCAGAGTTCTCCTCCATGAAGCCACCGCGTTTAGCCTGCCAGACGGACCCGCCAGGGTTCTCTGCTTCCCATCCCAAATCTGTAAATTTTCGCATATAGAGAACGACGAGTATTTCTTATTAAATCTCAGAAAGATCTTATACGATCCTCCAGCTCTTCTAAAGCGTTATGGTGTGATTAACTAGACATTTTTTTGGAGGATCCTGTCCTTCTGAGCAGGGTCGATGTGATTACCCCTAAGTATCGCTTCAACCGCATGTTGAGTGGGCAAGTTGGTGGATACACCACGATTTTCCAAGAGGAAATCGTTGCGATTCTGGCTTGTGTATTCCCTCATTTTCGAGAGGGGTGGGCCTAGGAGAAGGATAACAATCTTCTCCGATAGCCATGCTGTAATGAAGGCACTAAGTGCCTGTAAGATTATTTCGAGCCTTGTGTTGCAATGCAGGGAGGCTCTGGATTGTCTAGCAGCGTGGCATCCGGTATCGTTAGTGTGGGTACCGGGTCACGCTGGGAGGGCGGACGCTCTGGCGAAAACAGGATCAGTCAGCAAGCTCGTTGGTCCTGAGCCAGCTTTAGGGGTGCCCGCGCTAAAAGTTAGGACGAAACAAAAAGGATGGACGTTTCTGCTTATCTCTGGATAGAGCCAACCTAAGGTTGCTGGTGGGACTGTTGTCTGGCCATAACACATTAAGGCGATACCTGCACATGATGGGGGTGGCTGAGGATCCCTTGTGTGAGCGCTGCGGGGTAGGAGAAGAGACCTTGGCGCACGTTCTATGTCGCTGCGAGGCTCTTAGCTACTATAGGTAGACTATACTGGGGCCAGGACATTAAGGAGCTTGGACTCAAGGCCATACCCAACTTCGCTAGAATGGCGAGGTTTGAGGTCTAAGAAATGTGGAGGTGCACAAGGGCCCGTCTGAGTGGCCTATGCGCTAGCTCCTTATGGTGGTCGGTATGCCTCTAATTTCGTGCGTTCATTCATTCATTCAACCAGACATTTAAGATGTACTTTATACGAAAAAGTCCAAACTATTTAAATCTGGGGACCTAGGAAGCTAGGGTTGGGGTCCGCCAGGACCTGCCCATCGGTTATTAAATTATTGGCTTAAATATTCTCTTGTTGCAACACTAAAATGAGCAGACACTCGATCATGCATAAACCACATTCTAATTAACTATGGTACTTCTTCTAGCAATATAGGCAAATTTTTCTCTGGAACCATAGTTTTATAGCTGATAGTAATGTAAGCTGTCCTTTTAGTTTAACTCCAATTATTTTCTGTCTTCGGATTGTCTGTCCGGTATCTATCATGTTTGTAGGGTGTTATTTTAAACATCATACTATAGTATGGTCGTTTTTCATCATCGAGTATTTTTGATGTTATAATAAAATTGCCGCTACGGAATGTATAGGATGTTTGACAAAGATTGACTCCCCGCCTGTTGACGATAAGCAAGCTTCTTTGTCTTTCCGAATTTAATTGTTGTAAGGAGTTCTCCTCTTTTGTCAGTTATCCAACATGACCGCATTGTCGACTTCGAAAAGAAATCTCGTTTTGCTAACTGATAATATGTCTCATAGCTAAGAAGCAAATATTAGGACTCTAAACCCTACCTCTCTGTGATGTAAAAAAACATACTGCAGTCTTTTTTTCTCTATTCTAGGTACCAAAGCGCTATCCCTCCCAGCCCGCCAGCGGAAGAAGAGGAGGAGAAGGAAGGTGGCTCCACAGCATCAACAGCAGCACCATCATCTGCTTCTGGTGCCCCAGACCAGCAGCGACCTGGCATCCGGTTCCAGATCACCATGGAGGAGAGTGAGCAGGAATCGGAGGAAACGCCCAACACTCCTCCGATGTGACGGAGGCTGCTCAGCCTCTGCAAGAAGATCACTGGGAAGGTTCGGCTGTAATCGCCTTCCGTGGAAACTAGAGACGGCTGCGCTGGCGCCGCCGTCGATTTAGGCAATCCGTAGTGTTTTTAATCATATAGAGGGACGGAATTCTAGGCTTACTAATCGTATCGAGTACTAAATACCAAAAAGATGGTTTGTGATCACTCCGAACGATTGTACTTGTAACGTTATTTACTAATGTATAACCCGATACGACAGCTAAGTCTGGGATTCCATTTCTGTAAGGGATCTATCTGCGCCATTACTTGTCTGATGCTCTGATATAATTCAGATTATTTATCCTTATTTATAAAATTATTGCAGTTCATCGGTTAAGCAACTTCTTTGCTCTCGTTGTAGTACAATGTGAAGCAAATTCAGGTTTCTAATCGTCAAATTTGGGTTAAGTTGAAAAACGCTTTTTAGCGACACTTCGCCTTTTTATACTTTGTATAAATAAAGCCGGACTATTATTATTAATTAAAATTGCACATAACAATTTTATCTACAAATTCTATGTCTTACTTTTCTGTATAAGACACCAATTTGAGTGCTATATGCTTTTTCTAACTCTACCATTACGTATCCATGTTAAAAAAATATTATTTAAGGAGGTCTTTATATATTGAGCAATGTAGCCTCGAAAAATATAATATGCAACGTCTACGGTTCTACGAAATGCAAGACATGGCACACTGCTGTGTCATTTTAGGAGCTCTAGGCGCTTCGAAACAACAAAATCTATATTTTATTATTCTCGTATCCCTTCAAAAATGGCTCACTGATTTAATTGAAAAAACAGTTGAAGAATCAATTTCCTTCGGGATAGCGAACGAGAAAGCAAGAAAGTCGCTTATAAACTTGATGAAAAAAAAATTAATTGCATTAAGCACCTTCCTCCAAATAAGGATATAGTTGTGACTTTTGGCATTCAAGGCATTAAAACGTAGATAAATTGGCAACTATGCCTGCATCGAATTACACTGGTAAACACGAGATAGAATGGATGCGTTTTAATGTTTTATTTAAGTTCTTTAAAGTCTTTAAATGCTATTTTGTCCTGTGTCTACTTTGACCATTTTTCCCTTCCCATTGTGCCAATACTGCACTGGACTTACTTGAGATGTGATGTCAAGTAACCGACTACTGAATAAAACAGCTCCAACGATGGAATATACCCATTTGATCTTGTACCGATCTATTGAGTGTATATGTAGCCAAACACAACATCCATGGCTCGAAATAATACTTTCGAATGCGCGAGCCTTTGAGCTGATGCGCTAGCTTCATCAATACATCGAGATAGCCAGCCCCCAGAGGTGGAAGTAAACAAAAGCCTGTAAAAACTTGGACTTAATCTGGCCATACAGTAATAGTTACATTAAGTTTTGTCTTACTTGAGCCACAAGGGTACCGTGGGGCTACAGGAGGATACAGGGGTAGGGGGGGGATGCTACACGGACTCTAGCGAGGGAACACATGCGCACGTGTCCCCACATGCAACATGCACACATTTTGGCCCCGCCTTGGAGATCCGCCGGGTGGTACCTCCACGTTCGGCAGTCAGAGGCCGTCTACTACCTAGTAGTATTTTCCTTACCTGATGAAATGCAATAACAATGTCTATAGTTGTAATCAACATCACTTTAAATAATGGCACAGTTAGATAGCTTGTTACTGCACATACAGATATGGGGGATTTGCTCTATTGATTGGAGTATTTGTTCGATTAGAAATAGCGCATGTGTACATGCAGCCAACTGTCTTTTATATATAAGTTGACCAAAGCCTCGTGTGATGATTGAATTGATTTGATCTGGAACGTAATAGTCAAATGAGAAGGTTCTGAGATCATTAGAGAAGCCGTAACAGAAAAATTATGTGCACCTTTCACTGAACCTGCCAAGGCTTTTCTCAGTAGAATAATCGAAAAAAGTCATTTATTTTGTGGTTAGATGCCTTCTAATTTGACTATTGTTTTCTAGTTTATTTCTTTTGGTGCATTTTCCTTTCGCAAACTTTAATATTTTTGATATACTCCATCTATTAACATCATGTTTGACATTGGTTTTACCAACCTTTAGGAAGTGAAATCTAACCTCCCTGCTGTGATTATGAAAACATATTTGAAAATAAACAAGTATTTCGATACTGTTAAAGTTGCGTCTGGAAGTCTGCTTTCTAGTACATTTAATATTATTGACATAATTGAGAACACAAATGAATTCGTTTCCATTTTGCGAGACAAGCAGTCGCCCGAAATGAATTTACGCTGGGTTCGTATGATTAGCTGAATAAAATCGGGCAGCTATACAGCATAAACATCTAGGACTATCAATGACAATAAGCATGTGTTATAATATCATCCAACCGGAACTTGGTGACAGACATCGGGTAATCACTTCGTCAAACAGTCAAATAGACTGCGATTTCAAGTTTCCTTTTATCTGCTGTTTTGAACTTCAATCTACAAGCTGTGTAGAACTCCTGCTGAAGAAGGATAGCACAATGGTAGCACTCAGAGAGTAGTTCTCGCATTGATAGAATACCTGCGCAGTTGGGAAACAAGTACGTAACAGCATTAATTAGCATATTCCACCAGTAGATACTCAACCCAAAAGTAAACAACTTACTGAAGCTAACAGCTATATACCTGTCGACCGCTGTGCTTAGGTGTCAGCGTTGCCTCAGGTTATGGAATTTACTACGTGGCAACGTGGCTGCGACGATAGACATTGTCAGGGCACGTACTGCTCGTCAAGTGTAGGAAGAGATATAAGGATTTGATGGAATTGCGCACACGAGAGAGGGAGAACGCATTAGGAGCAAAAGAGATGGCACGTACAATACGTGCCATTCGATCGCGAGTGGTACAGTCTGCATCCTAAATTAATCTAATAATTTCAATAATGGAATATGTATTATGTGAAGCCTGCTTTTTTAATCGAAATTGTTGGCATGTTTCAAATTTTTAATATCTTTTTGTGAGCCCAATATTCTGTGCTGTCATCGTCAGCGTTAGATCATCAATTCCACGAGCACCCGATCTTAAGCTGTCTATTGCCTCTGGTACTTCATGTGGTTCGATAACTCTTAGAGAAAATTTGTTCAATGGGTTGAGTTAATGCGCATTATAAAATTGAGTTTGAGGGTATATAATATACAATTAACGAATCTATATCATTATTATCTTAAAATACAATTGTACGTCCACCAGAAGCATTTAAAAATTCATATCTAAGAAAACACTACTTTTTCAATATTTTCAAATTTGCATAATACATTAGTTTTACAGAAATAGTTTTATGTTTCCACACCTGTTCGCTACCGAAGAAAGGTTAAAAATCGCATTTATGTGATTATTTATGTAAATGAGATATGAGATATAAGACTGAAATTGATTGGTACTCATTCTATTTTTAATTGTTAATCATTTAAATTAATAAACAATCAAATGAAAATTAAGGTCAAAAAACTAACATCGTAGTAGATACAGTTGGCAATATTTTAAAGATTTATGAAGTTTCACAGAGGATCAAATCCTGAATGTACAGAATCGGAATCTGAGCTACTACTTAAACTTAAATCTTCGGTTTTGCTATCGCTAGCTTCGTCTAGGTTTATATGTCAAAGCACCTTCTTCAATAGAATTCATTTCGCGAAAATCCTCCTAATAGTCGATACACTAACTCCCGCGGCCATGGCTGCACGCTCCTGAACTTGCTTCAAATCTTTGAGAGGTTTATTTCCTTCTGCTTCTCGTTACATAAAGAATAAAATATTTGCTAAAACCTCCCTAGTTTATCCCGATAAACCTTTACGTTGTAATTTGGATTTAAAACTCACTATAAATGAGTAAATCTCTTAGCACACTAAGGAATAAATGACGACAATTAATAGCGTAGAATTGTATGTATTCAACCCACGAATTCGTAACAATATATACAATTCACAGATGATAATAAACTTGTTTTACTGCCTGACAGTTTTTCTCCTGACTGTACGCTAACTAGTCTAGACACGACAAGAGACTACTGCTTCGACCGGCGAATTGAGCTGCTAGCTATGCGCACCGAGAAGGCGTGGCTTTATTCAAAAATTCGCATCTCTTCCTACACTTGACGAGCTGTACAAATCCATCAATGTGGTTGGGCCTTTTCTTGGAAAATACTTTATCTTGAGTGAGTGAGTCTTATTTTCTTCTTTTCGTGGCCTGGATGCGGGCGCTTCGGACGACATGGAAGAAGTTTTGTAATTAACATTTTTAGTCGATCACATTTTTATACTAGATATTGAGTCCATTTGTCATGCTTGTGAGGTTATTTGTGCGTATCTGTAGTATTCGGAGTGCATGCTTACTTTGTATTTATTTATAGTGACGTCAAACGTTACTCCTCTAGCTGGCTTAGAGGAATTTTGTATATAAAATGAATTTAACAATAAAAAGCAGATAACCTCAATTCGGAGTAAACTTAACCTACGATATCTTCCATGCTAACAGAGCTTTTATATTTCCTCTCACTATAATAGTCATTCAGGTCAATGAAGCTAAATGAAAAATGTGCACTTCCTCGTTTCATTTATGGAATTTAGAGGATATAGGGATGTAATATTCCTAAAGTTTATTACAAAACTTATAAAAATCCATTTAATTTACTCGTATTTGTTCCACACTTTTTGCGCAACAGTGAGTCAGTATCACAATACATCACATTAAATTAGTACGTGATAATCGATTTGAGTTGAATGTGCTTTCCCCTTATGGTTAATAACGAAACAGTAACAATAAAAGAGAGCGTTTTAGCCATAGGCGTCTATTTGGCAGTCACAAATACCGCATACGTAAACGATATGGTTAATCTATAATTCAGCTACTTCATATGACTTGAACGTCAACGTTATTTGTGATTGTCAAAACTCTCTGAGGCTCCCTTAACTACGCTAAGACGTTTTATTAATTGAAGACACAAATAGATAAAGGAGTCATGTAACATTTTTTTTAAATTGCTTGTTTTGCATTAAGCTTACCTTAAGGAGTGTATTTTTCATTCTGTGATTACTTTGTTGCGTAAACAAGATAATAACAAACTAACTAAACTGAATATTTAAAATTTCACTAAAGTAAAAAATCCCAATAAAATGTTTAAAGTCAATTTTCTCCACACAATGAGGTTGTTACATGACACCTTTATCCACTTGTGTCTTCAATGGTTAGAATGAGTGATATTTTCTCAAAGTTGTTTGATGATATCTTTAAGGGAAATCGCAAAATTTGTGTTCTCATTTATAATTTTTATCGATGTAACATATATTTTTTTAATTATGCTGTGATAACAGCGCATAGAACGTAATACAAATATACCTATGATTAATAATTTTCACTTTGCTGTGTTGAATACTCATACAGCTTTTGAGTGGTCTTATCATGCAAAAAGTTATTTATTAGGGCGTTCAATGGTTTTCTATCCGTTTTTGATTGAATGTTTACCATAAAATATAAGCATTCTTAATCAATTTCTTTTTCTCCAGTACTTGTTATCTTAGAACAATTAGAAAGGTTCAATTTTAATAGCCTTCGAAAATGATAGGGAGTTTTGCATACACAGGCTATATAGCCCATTTAGAACTGACGTTTCAGCCTCAACATCAATATTAATGAGAAAAAGCATGCATGTTACCGTAAAACCACATATTCGGGTTTTTGTCGCCATTAAAAAAAGTCAGCTCTTTAGCGCTTCGTGTCAGTTATTATTTGCAACAAATGCACACTGACATTGAGCTCTTCGAATGATGTAATATTCTGAATGCCTCATTGGGAATGCTTTTGTTTCATGGAGATTATTTTATGTTCTATGATAGTTGTGACTGAGGAACGGTGCGATCTCAGTGTTGTAGTCTAGTCCACGAATTTATAACATGACAATTCGAATTATAACCCTGTAAATTTCAAAACTTATGACTATTATGAGATAAACTTACGCCGGCGTCGTGTCGTAGCGAAATTTGATAATCATTATGCGATACTCTGTGAAGTATATGAGGATCGGATTAATCGGTAAAATAGGAGTGTTAGAAGAAAAATGCTGCAGATGAGATTGTTTGTACTAGTATCTAATAAAACACAAACGTGGTTTGGTGTTCCTAAATTTGATGATAAAGTGCATCAGAGCAAGCGCTGGCTAGTCGAGTTCAGTTGTAAAAAGTATGTATATAATGTAATAAAACTAATAGTTGTACTAGCGGAAGAATAAAAAGAAACATACCGAGAGGTCTAATCAAGTGTGGTATGAAATATTCATGACGTCTGTAAAAGACCTGGGATTATAGACTGCATTACGCGGAAAAAAACAGTTCAGTTTTAGTCGTTGACTGCATTTAAGCACAATGTTTAATACATGTATTACAGTGTATGTTAAGGGCAACCCAGTAGCACCCCCTATGCTAGGGCCATGAGGATAATAATATAAATTATACTTATGATTTTGATGGCTCTAATGTAGGATTATGAACGGAAATTTTAGCATTACACGTATACAAATTCTCACTTTTTTCAATGATCCACTGTGGACAATACGATTGGTAATTTTTTCTGAGCAGAACTGCTTCTGTTATTCGATCGCCTAAATATACCAAATATAAATTACATTATTTCATTTTTTTATTCTTCAGATAAAAACATTAATTATAGCAAATCTAATCCTAATTAAAACAGCGAAAAAAGATCCTCTAGAAAGAGTGGTAGCCTATATAGATAAGTGGTATAAATTCACGGAATGTCTTAGAGTAGTGAGACATTAAAATATGCGTTTTTCGTCATCGTCGCGATACAGCTGATCCACTGTTCAGCAGTGTTCAAGCTCTGAAGTACTACTCATTTACAGGGTGTTACTTAATGATAGGCCATAATTACAAGGACGCATTTTTGAACCAAATTTGAGTGAGGAAGTTCATACAAATGTGTATTCTATAAAGTGTGGTTTCTAAGATATGGGTGTCAAACAATGTTGAATTAATTCCAATAACATGTTATGCTAGTACTACAAATAACTAAAGGATAATTGTAAAATCCAGTGGCATCTGGGGGGTAGTCTGATGAATGATACTGACCAAAAAGTACGCCACTACCTTTTTCAAAAATGTATATTTTCTTAGATTATATTTGTTTCGGATTGAGCAGCTAATGATACATCATTTTGTCTCTCGGTATTTCCTAGTAATTTACTTCAGTTTCGAGGCAAAACATAAAAGCAACTTCATAACATGTCGAAACATTATTAAAATAAGATCAAATCAACTTTGATCGATGCTAGGGAATTCTGTTATCATTTTTGACTTTCCATTGCAGTTTGCTTTTATTTTTCCTCTGCTCGTAAAAACCATTGTTTCAATGTTTTACACCCTGTATCTAGAATTTCACACTGTTTGACTTTTTTCGCCGCTTCAATTAAGCTTAGATGTACTGTATGCACCTTTTTAAATACTGCCATGGTTTTAAAGATGTTTTCATTGTCGTACAGTGAAGATATAAAAGCAGTTTAAAATATCAACATATGAACGTGAACTCGTTGTTAACAAAAGCAATAATAACACTTGATTCAGACAACTCTGTATAAAGAAAACATCCTTTTGTGCTTAGGTAGATATGTATTGAATTTTCTATCCTAGAAATGTAATACCTGACTGTACCTTGTATTAAAAATCCATATCATTATATTGTCCCGTCATTTACAAAAAAATATTTGTCTTTGTGTTCGCAATACTCTTGTATTGAGAATATTTTGTATAGTTTAAGATTGCCTTCTTCTGGAAAACATCAACAATATATCCGATTTCAATGGGTCTAATATCTGATCTACAGATACTTAAGTACTGGTGTTTTGGACTAAATTTTTCAAGAAGCATAACGGTCATCTAGTTTTAAAGCGAAAGATTTAACGGAATATACTAGTCTATACAAACACTGCTTGCTGAATAGTAAACATCAAAATATAGTTTGAAAGATATTAAACAAACTTGGTGTCAAGTCTTTTTGGAATATATAAAGCGCAAATGTTTATCAACCATTGACAATAATAAAAGTATGATAGATGAAAAGTCACATGTCAGAAGAAATATTTCACCCGTTGAAACTTCAAATAAAGCTTATATATACTTCAGGGCTGTAGATCAGTGGCATAATTAGTAGACCCTGACTGTATAAAGATACTTCAATGTGATGTCTAACGTAGTGTCTTACTAAGCAAGCTAATTCTTGCCAAACTATTTCACCAAAAGAGGCTATAGCTTCAGTTTCTTTATGTTTCATGTATACCTTGATACCCAGTACTGGGATATTATATTTCTCAATGTATCTATTTTTAAGGAATTATAAAAGTTGGTTTTCCCTTGACCATCATGTGATTGTTATTTGGATATGGATTTGTATATGAATGACACAGTGTTATAAACCTCTTAGAACAAGTTAAGCTTTGTTTTGATGCCAATATCAGGACCCACGTGAAAACTTTCTGAGGGTGAGTTTAACTATGAACTTGATTTCGTGTTCCAATATAATTAAGTGTCAAGTAGTAAAATAGTGGATATGACTACACTTCAGCCTTTTGTGATGTTTTTATCACAAATAAAGATCTGTTATTATTATTATTGGAGTATCGCTTACTGAATTCACTATATCTTACCATTTGCATTTGAAGGATTGAAATCTTAGAAATTCCCGATTCAATCACATTTTAGTTTTGTAAACTGTATTATGGTAAAGCCATTGGGAAAGTTTAAAAATGGGAAAACGGATGAATCAGCCTGCTGAATATTAATGATTTTATGATTTAGTAGGCGTACAATATAATGACAACAAAGGCTGCGAAGCGATAGTCAGTTCCTTGAAATTTGAGAAGCAACGTCACAAAGTCAATTATAATGCTAATTTTGGACTCTGGATGGCGAACATTTTTGTTTTGTACTGTGTGTACTATGAAATATGATCTGACTTGCGTCAGCATCACTACTGCATGTTGTCAGCATTAATATTGATTGGTTGACGTACCTTTTGAAGTAGGAATAGTTGGAATCGAATCAAAGCTTATCTTCATCTCTATCCAAATGTACACCTCCGCTCTAAAGTACCACTGATTTCATTCTCCCACAAAGATTTCCTTTAGACATACCGCTTGCTTTTATTGAAACGTCCGTATATGTACATCAAGATAACATAGCGTCTAATTTGTCCTTTTTGTGAACAGATCTTATAAATAAATACACGTACTGAATATACGCGCATAACCGTTTTCAACTTTCAACAAGAATTTTTCTGTACTACACCAACCGCGTTTAAATCTGGATTTTGTTTTTGGGTGATATGAATACGTATTTTTTGACTTCACTTTTTACTCTTTATGTTACCTGAAACTAATTGTTAAATGAAGTGTAATAAATACATAGTAGTAAATCAATGTGTCTTTTATTATATAATTCCGTAACTCACTATTCAAACCACTTGTTATTGGTTAGCAATTCTTCCTCAACATCTCCATCTATTGATTGTTACTAGAGACTCTAAGATATAGAGCCCATATGCAAGAAAATAGTGAGTATGCGATGTAAAAGTATGGCAAATGGGAAAGAAATGAGATGTGTTTGTCTGAACAACATGGATGCTTCAATTTTCAATAAATTAAGCAAGTTTTCGCCTACAGTTAAAACTGGTCCCACATTATATTTTCGATAGGGCGTCTTAAGGACGTTTCTCCACTTTTAGACAAGAATGATTATGCTTCAAACACCAAAGATGCTCTACATAAGAAAATATTGCCACTCAAGTGTTGGGAATGGAAGCAACCTCATGCTGCCTATCAAGCATCACGCCATCCAACAGCCTTGGATATTGGTGGAGATTGTAACACCCCATTCAGCCTGGATAAAATGTCGAGTGCAGGAGTTGTAACTTTTACTCACAACAATTCCTGCTGCTGGACTAGTTATTAATACAAAGTTTGACCGAAAGAAACATCCTGTGGTTTCTGTGGCAAGTCGTTTCTTAAGTTTGCTTGCTGTCTCTATCATCCACTTTCAGATAACTACTGGCTAAATCTACTGAACTACACCTTTCTGATCATCCTTATTTCTCAGAGCTAGTTCTTTTGGAGATTTCAATATCCCTAGCGAAATCCGGCGATGGTCAAATCCTAAAAATCCCCCAAATTGTTCACAAAATAATACTAAATATGCAAATTTTATGATCGAACTGGTTTATCAGCGAGAGCACGGCCCCCCTGGCGCTGCCCTGTGTGCATCTATGATGATTTTCCCCACTTCACAGACTTCTTGAAGCACCTCGGACCTTGTTGTTGGAGAAGTTCTCAAGTGAGTATAGGTAGAAGAGTTCATCATACTACCATGCTGACAGAGTTTCTGAGCGACGTCTCCACCTTTCCTTAGCCATATAGATGATATGCCGACTCATGTATTGTAGACGACATTGAGCGAAATCATTCATGTCAACATGGAGACGTACAATCCGCACATATACCGAACTAAACGAGGCTCCAATAAATAAATGGACCAAGCATACCGAGTTCCCTCAGAATACCCCACTGCTGAGAACCGCCAAGTTTATAACGAATCTAAAATCATATGCATACAATGAGACTGTTCGTATACTCAGGTATGATCCGAACAAAACATAATTTTAATAAGGGCTATATGGTCGCTTTCGGCATTGTTTAAACCAGGAGTTCCCAACCAGGGGGGCGCGCCTCCCAAGGGGCGCATAGAGTCAAAGGGGGGCGGAAAGAGTTTGCATTTTAGAAAGAAAAAACAAAAAAAAATAAACAAACAACATTAACAAATAATATTACAATGTAATGTTTAATTTACACGCATAAAATTAGAAATTAAATATCATATTCACTTACTACGTCAACCGCTGTTTCAAAACCCGGCGTCGTCTATCGCAGTTTATACGAGTTTCGTCAAGTCACAACATGAAATCCACGCGCATCCCCGCCGCGCTCCGCTTAACATTCATTACTTAGAAAACAAATGTGTATCTACCACACCCAGATGAACATCTGTGATATTCATTTCCACAAACTTGCGAAAAATTTGACGTTTCGATGTACATGTTTTGTTGAGAAATCTGTTTGAGTGTGTCAAATTATTGTGTATTTACAAACTTCAGTTACCATTTTTATATAATTTACTAAATTGCTGATTGAGTGGAGACGCGTTCATAGATCGGCCATTGGGACTTTTTTACCACATCACAATCAATCCAACGTGGCGAAATAATTTTGAAACGACGAACTTTAAGTACCTACCTAATATTGTTTTCAAATGTATTTAAAATTACCATTATAACGTCGACCTGCCTACAAAAATATAAATATCCCGGTGGCCAATATACTGTTGAATACATTACTTTATTAAGATAAAATAATGGGCATATAATTAGTAATTACATGTAGGCATTTTGCTTATTTATTCATTACTTATTTGTTTTATTGTTAACGGTTCAAAATGGCAGCGAAAAAAAGAAAGTTTTCCGAAGATTACGTTAAGTTTGGATTTACCTTCATAGAAAAAGACCTTTATTATTTTTAATTACCTCAATGTGTGATATGTATGAAAGTTTTAAGTAATGATAGCATGAGGCTCAATCGCCTTGAAAGCCATTGGAAGCAACAACATCCTACCCTGGTTTTGAAGACGAAAGAGTTTTATTCTTCTAAAGCAGAATCACTCCAGCGGATAAAACTGGATAAATCAGGAAGTTATCACACAGGTGTATCGCAGCATCTCAAAGCTTCACTTGAAATAGCTTTTATGATAGCAAAGCAAAAGAAACCTTATACTATCGGTGAAGAATTAATAAAACCATGTCCTAAAAGCCACGCAGATAATTTTACGATAAGATCAGAACAAAAAATGAAGTCTATTTGTCTTTCGAATAACACAATCAAGCGTAGAATCGATGACATTGCTGCAGACATAAAGTCACAAATAATTAAAAAAGTAAAATTATCGCCATTTTTTGCCATTAGTTGCGATGAATCCACCGACATCGTTAATTGTGCACAGTTAATAGTTTATGATCGTTTTCATGGGCGGAAATATCATTCAAGAAGAGATTTTGTACTCCCAATCTTTGACTGCAGGTACTACATCTGAAGATATTTAATTCAATATCAAATTTTGTTGAAAAAAATTATTTGGATTGGGAGAAACTCATTGGACACAGATGGCGCACCTGCAATGATAGGGGTACGATCGGGTTTAGCTAAAAAGCGCCAGAAAAAAAAATCCCGCAATGATTAGTACACATTGTGTTATTCATCGGTAAGCTTTGTTTCCCAAAACATTGCCACAGAAATTACGCCAGACTTTGGACTCGGCTATAAGGATTGTAAACTACATCAAGAGCACCGCTTTGAACAGTCGATTATTTACTTTAATTTTAATTTCCATACAGAAGTACGCTGGCTGTCCAAATGCAACATGTTGGCTCGCCTTTATGAATTGAAAGAAGAAATAATTCTTTTTCTTGAGTCCAAAGAAAAATACGATTTCTTGACAATGTTCAAAGATGACACATTTCAATGGAGGTTGGCTTATTTAACGGTCATATTTGACTCCTTGAATGAGCTAAACTTGAAACTTCAGGGCAGAAACAACACGATAATAAGCAATTATGATTATATTCAAGGGTTCATATTAAAGCTTCAAGTTTGGAATCAAAAAGTGTCTTCTGAAAATGTTAGATCTTTTTCTCGGCTGTTCGAAGCAATTAAAAACATACTGGACGCAAATTTAAAAGCTGACATACAAACTCATTTGCAAGTGCTGGAAGACGAATTTCGCCGATACTATCAAGACATCAATTCAGAGTCACCAATATGGCACATGACAAGAAATCCATTTGTTGTTGATGTGTCACAATTACCAGAAGAAGTTCAGGAAGAACTTCTAGAAACGAAGGCTGATTTGTCCATGAAAGATGACTTCCATCTTTTGACATTGGAGAAATTTTGTATCAAAAGATCGCCTGTTAATTCGACGCTTGCCTCTCTTGCTTTACGAATACTAGTTCCTTTTTCTTCAACTTACTTTTGTCAGACAGGCTTTTGTGCTCTAGTTTTAATTAAAACTAAACAGCGAAATCGTCTTGATGTCGATAGCGGCCTGATGATCGCTCTGGCAAAAACAGAACCTAGAATCAACCAACTGGTACAGACCTTGCAATCTCATGTATCTCATTAGTACCTACTCTTATTTTGTTCAAGTTTTTCGATAAAAAACATTTATTAGCTTATTTATACTTTTAAAGTTTCTTTATTAGAATTAAAATAAAAATCTTGGTACCTATATAATGTGCGTTTTTTTGTATTTATTGAAAAAGTAAAGGGGTGCATGAAAATATAATTTATAGTCCGGGGAGCCTCGACAAAATAAAGGTTGGGCAACCCTGCTTTAAACAGACCTAGATAAATCTCACAAGCGTGATTACCTCCGTTAACGCGTCATGAAGGTACAATATTGGAAGAAACTCCACTACTAAAGCAGATATATTCGACAAAATCCATTCCCCATTTCATCCATAAAGGTTCCCACACTACGAGGAAAGTAACCTGCGGATAAAAATCATCAGGAGCATGCTGGAATCGTTCAACACCAAACTATTTCCACGATTGCTGTTACGTTACTCAAGAACTAAGATTTGTTCATTATTATTTGTTTCAGATGACTTATAATACTAGCATTTTCCCAGGCTTATATCTCTGTTATCATAATCGACCATGTACCTGGGTAAGCCTGATCGAATAACTTTGTCGCCATCCATTAGAATTGGATGCTCAGTTTTACTTTAGAGTCTCTGGATCCCAAAACTGATCCTTGTGGAATAGCAACGTTGGTAGTGTACAGCGGATACTTTTCGCTATCCTCTGAGAGGCTGCACGAGCAAACTCTGCCTAGGAGAACAGGTACCCACAAATTATACTTTATACAACATAGTGAGCCTCTGCGTATGATTGGATGAAATGTATGTACAAGTTTACAACGTATGCCAGGCGGTTGTTGTTGACATTTGTAGGTTAGAAAATACATCCAAAAATAACAAAAAATATTCCCATAAATATGGGTCTAAAGATGCTCCCGAGATACAAGGAAATAAAGTTTTATTTACGAAATTGAGAAAAAAATATATCTATGGAACAGGTGAAGATACCGAGTTGAGATTTTGGACGTTTGAGGCGGCTCCGACGCAGTGACTTTCAGGCCATTTACAAGGGTTTAGCTGCTTCGGAATTGACGCTCCATTTTTCTATATATTTGAATAAATTTATACAGTATGTTCAGAAGACAATTGTCCAGGGTGCTATAGAGCCACTTTTCTAAAAAAAAAAATTTTTCAGGAAATGCAGATAATTGTTGTTCGACTTCTCGACTTT